TACTCAAGTTTTACTCCATTCTCTTAATTCGTCCTTTTCCTCCATCTTATTTCAGTATCCGCGCTGTGAAAAGCCCCTTTTCTTTAAAAAAAACTTCATGGAACGTTTTCTGTTACCGATCTATTTGACTATAATTTAACTTTATTCATTGGTATTACTATAACCATAACTACACTGTTGGAAATTTTTTGAAATTTCAAGGCAAATCTAGTAGGAATTCTCATGAAAGAGTCATTGAATCCGATTTAGGGTGAGAATGGTTATAAAATTTCAAGTTTTACTCAGAATTCCAGGAAATTCGTGAGTTTTCAATGGAAATGAGACAGAAATCTTAAAGATTGATTGCATTTCCAATGAAACCTGAATATTCGGAAATAAAATGGTTTGAATTTTCAATTTTTCCTTGAATTTTCATGATTTTTCCGAATTTTCATGGAATGATGGAACTGAAAAATCAAGTATTCTGTTGATTTTTTGATAATTCAAACTGAAAATCGATGGAATATTTGCTTTTTCAATTACGAGATTTCCTTAAGTTTTAGTGGAAATTAAACATGATAAATATTTGCGGGATTTGACACGGAAAATTCAGACGAAAATTTTTAACAGTGTATAGTTATAAATACCTGAATTGAGTATAAAATATACTTGAATCAAGTATATTGTATACTCGAAACAAGAATAAAATATACTTGATACAAATATATTTTTTCCCCGTGGTTATAAATAACTATAACTATTCAGTAGCAAAGTGGTCAAACGCTTTAAGTCAATTTAGTCTTTACTTGAGTTTTCCAGAAATATTTCTGAATTTAAGAGAGACAGCGAAATGTTCATAATAACCTTTTTTGTAGAGCGAATTGAGTGCTACTAAAAAAGTTGAGAGAAAAATTTTGCTATCTCCCTTAGATTTCGAGATATTCATTGAAAAGTGGCCAATAGCCAAAATCGACTTAAACCATTTGACCACTTCGCTACTGTATTGATCACTATAACTATAATTATAACTATACACAAATATATGTATAATTATACCTATAAACATCGCTAACTAGAATTATTTCTATCGCTATAAGTATAGTTATGCCCAAGAAATTTCAACAATTGCTACAATTTGCAATTGGCCAATGAATTTGGTAATTTCAATAAATTACCCATTGCAACAACAGGGATATCCATTCCATGTATTCTTCAACCATTCACAAGGAATGAATGTATTTTTATTGGAAAAAAATATATAAGACTAAATGGGTATATTTATAGCGCACGAAGCGCACAAGATGCTCTAGTTTCAGAGAAAAAGCAATGAAAAGAACGTAAAAATTATGTTCTGAAACGTAATCGACTACTGGGAAAAAAAACACGTAAAATTCCTTGTACAATAAAAAAAAATCGGCGAACGAACGTGTATTTCAGGCATTTTTATTTGAAATCAAGGAAAACTGTGCGGCAGAGAATTAATTTTTCCCTTTGTATAACGTAATTGTTCCAGCGAATAATTTTCCTTCATTTTTCTCATACCATCCCGTTGATTTTCTTCTCTAAAAATTACTTTATTCCGCGTGAATGTTCAGACAGTATTAGTGAAAATTTTGCTCTGTTTGCACGGGAAAATTGTGCGCCGAAACCTAATTTTCAGCCGTCGCGCGCGCATTTTTCCGATGTTTACACGGGGACGACGTCGGCAGAAAAACTAGGAACGGACTAACGTAAATTTGTACAGAGAATAACTCGAGAAATGCATCGTTCTCAACATTTTTTTTTATTCACGAAAACTTACACGTATTACTCCTCCAGTTGAAGAGACGTTACAATTCCAGAAAATTCCCGCAATCAAAAGATTTATCTGCCTCATAGTCCGGATGGAACGAGCCCAATTTGGCGATATGAAGTTATGTATACGTCCATAATATTGATAACATTTCGCAAATGTTAAAACCTAAACTACTGTGATAAAGTGAAGAATAACGTCTCTACAAAAGACTAAAAAAATTATTTAACATTTCTTTAAATGGGAGTTGTGAAGACAAAAACGTAAATATCTCGGCAACTAGAATCGGTAAATTGGACCTTTCTTATGCTGACGTCCACATTGGGGGTGGGAGTCATGAGATTGAAATCATGAAATCGTGAAATTTCAAAATTAAGTGAAAATCCAATGGAATTTCAAAATTCTTAACAGCAAGAAATAGAGAATTTCCCTGTTTTTTTGAATTTTTAATCAAAACACCAATATTCAGAACCAAAATACAGCGACTTTACAATTGATTCGAAAATTTAAGGATATAAGTGTCTCGAATTTCTGATTTCTATCGTTTTTTATGGAATAATTTGAATAAAAATTTACGGTTTCCATCGATTTTTTCATCAAATTGAGGATTTTCAATGACGATATTTCCTGAATCGAAATAGTTAGATAACTAAGCACAAAATGTCTATGGGAATTCCTATAAAAATTGGAACTTGTAAAATTTTCCGATCTCTTTTACATGAAAGAAAGAAATTTATATAGCGCTCCACATCTTTTGTGACGTCATAGGAAATGATTGGATGGGGTTTCGATGAGGTAGGAGCGGAACCGGGATTATTATCCATATGAATAACCAGAAAATTTTTTACTGAAAAAAATGGATAGTCCAGACCGGGATTTGAACCCGGCACCTTCGAACTATGCATCAGGTGCTCTCCCAAATTATAAAAATCCAAATCGACTTCTGGTGATGAAAATTTAGTACTCGAAATTAAGACTACAAAATTAAGGGTCCGAGTAAAGGGCACGAGGGTCAAATTAAGGGTTACAAGTGTCAGGTTAAGGGCCACTGAAGTAAAAATGACAATCTTAGGGCTAATATGGGGCTATTTGGGGGTCAAATGGGGGTTGACGAGCGAATCCAGCAGCGGGCGTAGCCCCCTAGTTAATAAAAATAATAAATAAAAAGGATTAAACATATGAAAGCGTGGAAATGTTGGTAGAAAATTAAAAATCTATAGGGGTGGGTGGGGTAAAATGGACACTTCAAATCTTTTCAAAATTATTCATAACTCAGAAAAAAATCTATCAATTGAGCTCAGTTTAGGCTCGTTACAAAGGGAAAGAATTGTTCTTTGTAATGAAAAAAAAATTAAATTTTATCAACATTTCAACCTCTCATTAACATTTAAAAAAAAGTCAAGTGTCCGTTTTACCCCAACCTCCCCTACACGGCGAAACTATAGAATTCTATATAGAATCACCCTTGTCTTATAAAATATCTGTATACGATTTTTTTATGCACTGTTAAAAATTTTTACCTAAAATCTCCGGTACTCTTTTCGGAAATTTTTTATTGAATTTAATAATCACTAAAATTTTAAAGAATTTCGTCATTGAAAATTCTGAATTTCGTGGAAAAATTAAAGAGAACTGTGAATTTCAGTTCCATTTTTCCCTGAACATGAATAGAAAAGCAGAAAATTCCGGTAAATATATTCTTGAATTTTCAGGTTAGTAACACTGAATGCGATTTAGGAGGAAAACAATCATGAAATTTCAGATTTCACTGAAAATTGAATATAATGGGGCACTGAATATTCATATTAAATTGGAAATTTAAATCAATTAAGGGATTCTCGTCTTTATGCTGCTTAAAATTCTGAAATTTTACTGAATTTTCCGTGAAACCTGAAATTTCATGATTTTTCCCCCTAAATCGCATTCACTGTCACTGTCCTGAAAATTAATAGTTAACTGTCTATGAAACTTCATTTTTTTCTTCAAACTTCCAAATCTCCCGGAATTGCCATAAAAGGCCGCGAGAAAAGAAATGGAAATCGTAAAAAGTCGAGAGTTGTGGGAGGACAGGAAGCGCCAAGATTACCAAGTGGATGTAGGGTAGACTTGCTATCTACATCTCCGCTTCTCATTAGCGAAACTGGTTTATCATCGTTCCATACAACCCCTATCCAGCATCGTAATTTCGGCTTCTCTCCCTCTTCTTGTGCCCCTCGGCATATAATTCCACGTGTGCCATCGTGACTGTGAAATTCGCCTAGTCCCCACGATTATTACAGATTATTACAGATATTTATCCATCCAGAAGATCGATTATGAAAATTCTAACCAATAGTTGTTTCTATCAGCGGTCTGATCTCACAAGGTCCTCACCCCCTAGCTTTTGTCTGCTCCGCACCGAGGGAGCACAAAATTCCAGTAATTTTTTTATTCTTGTTCAGAGCATTCAAACCTTTTGGTTTATTCTGATTGGAAATAATAATTACAAAAATAGAAATACGTTTTTTTATTCATTAAATGAGACAAATTTCGCTGTTAGAAAAAAATCAAAATGTCATGGACTGTTGACATTAAATTCAATTCAGGAGGAAATAAATAATGAAATTTCAAAGTTCTCTGAAAACTCAAGAGAATTTCGAATTCTCAAAATTACTTGAATTTTCAATAACAACATGAATATTCCGAAGTTAAGAACGCTGCATTTCCCATGAATTGAGTTTCTACTCATTTTCTTGAAATAGTTGAGCTGAAATTTGCAATTCATTAATTTTTTGGTCAAATAATGAATTGTAAATGATGAAATTTCTTGAAATTTCCGTGAAACTGTCACTTGTTCAACATTTTCAAGAAGTATTCCGGAAACGTCATCCAAAATTTTTTAACAACGTACATTAATTTTCTTTCAAAATTCAGTCCAACTCAATTTTCTGCAAAATTACAAAACAATTTCATTCAACGTCTCAAATGTGTACATTCCTTTTTCCTATCAGAGTATTCAGCCAAACTATCGAACGTGAAATCCAAAAGCTCCGTCGCCCGTCCCCAGAGCGAAATTTCCGTGTCTGCAGACCCAGCTCAACACCAAATATCTTTCCAATACACGTGTATATGTACGATTTGATCCCCCCATAACTCCGGATAGAAATACAAGTCCGAGTAAAATATTTCCCAGTGGTATTACCATCCATCCGATAATACATTTTTATTTTCCCCTCTGTTACAGGAGAGTTCACCAGTGAGAATGCAGTGCCAAAAATCCAGCAGGATGTCAAGTACGAGGCGATGAGAGAACTGAATGGAGGCCGAGGAAACTGCAGAGCCCCCTGGGGCTCAGAGCGCCGTGCTCCGGACGACATCACATATTTTTCTTAGTTCAGCCGAACCCACCGACGCCAAAATAGACTCTTCTTGTCAGTTTTTTCATTCAACCGACAAGAACGGCTTTATTTGAAATTCCAGGGGTCAAGGATAAGATGAGCCAGCCAGTCTGTTCAACTATTCCATAACTAAAAAAATTACTAGATAATTTGTAGACAAATCTGAGACAAACCAGACTCGAATCAACTATGGCGGCACCAGTAATCGAGAAGAAACGATTCTTCTGCAGAGAATGGGCATTTATGAAGTTGTCCCACTGTCTGGAGCAGCGTCCAGCCTCCAAAACATGTGGTGCTCTGATTGTCGGTGGCCCAGGAAGTGGCAAAACAGCTCTCTGCGCTGAGCTCGCCTGGCCCTCGACATCAGCGAGTTCAAGACACCAGAGGTCACTGAACCGAAGGCTCTTAGCAAGACATTTTTGTCAGGCGCGGAGCGAAGCCTCTCTTTCGCCAGCTCAATTTGTCAGATCACTGGTGGCCCAAATTTTACAAGCAAGCACAGATGGAATTCACTTGTCATCCCCGACATCACCGCCAACGAGTACAATATCTGCGCCGTCATCGTCGAAAGAGGCTGTGGCGGAGGCTTACGCCGAGAAGCTCAGGACTGATCCTGACATTCACGCGGCTCTGCAGCACGACGTATTGGACAGGGATCCCGACGATGCCCTCAAAAAAGCTCTCTTGTTTCCTCTCCTAGAGGTGGAGCCGCCTAAAAACTGTCTCTTTCTACTCGTCGATTCCATCGACGAGGGACAAATACTCAATCCACCCCAGACTGGCACGAGAGATTCACGACGTGAGAATGACAATGTCAGTAGAACAATAGCTGAATTACTCGCCAATCATCATCACCTTTTCCCTCAGTGGCTGTTGCTCGTCTGTACAGCTAGACGACAGAGTAAAACGATCTCCAGAATGTTCACGGGATTTCGTAAAATATCTCTAGATGATTTGAGAAAGAATCAGGTTGTACGTGATGTACAGCAATATATTCTGGCCAGGCTGGATGAGGAAGTTGCATTGAGACAGCACATCTCCAGGGACACTGCGGAGATGCTGAATCAGTTGCACATCAAGAGCAACGGTTGCTTTCTGTATCTCGAGAAGGTTTTAGATGGTGTTGCGGAGAATTTTATTGTTCTCCGGGAGGTCAGAGAGATACCTGGTACATTAAATGGACTCTATCTGTGGCTGTGTCAGAGACTATTCAGTAGAAAGCAATTTGCCAAAGTTCAGCCACTGCTCAATGTTATATTGGCTGCTAAATTGCCCATCACCCAGGAGATACTGTACAAGTGCGTGAAAACAGCGCACTCAACTATTACGATTGAGGACTTCAATCGTAGGCTTCACCTGTTGAGGCGAGTTATTTCTGTGTCACGGGCTGGTGCACTGATGTTGTTTCATCATAGCTTTGCGGAATGGCTTTTGGATGTCAAGCATTGCACACAAAAGTACCTCTGCTCAGCGACTGAGGGGCATGCCATGTTGGCGGGGCATTATACTCTTCGTGGGCCTGAACTCACGGCCGATGAGATCTGCGTGCTCGGGCAACATCTGCAGAGATCGCTTACCAATGTGGGGGGGAACTTGTGCAACTTGGATGCTCATACTCTTCAGACTTTGTGGATGATTGGGAGCAGAGTTCCCATTGACGAGTGCTATTTGGATAGTCCGGAGTGCTTGATGTGGCCGAGGCAGGATTCCAAGTTGTTGAGGCTGCTTATTGATTCGGGGGCCAAACCCAGTGAAAAGGTTGTCGAGGATGAGCCTTCTAAGGATCCTGTTTCTTCTAGTCAGGTAAAGTGTTGCATAATTATTCAATTTTCAATTTAATTTCTCTAGTGGAAAATCCAAAATTATAGCGTTACATATCTGATCAGAATCTGATAGGGTAACCTGATCAGTGTCTGCTCAAGACCTGACTAAAATTTCCAGTCGGGTATGATTCAATTTGAGGGTGAAATTCGTAAGTGTCCTGGTATCTCAGATGATAAGAGCACCCGACGCGACATTGGGAGCTCCCGAGTTCGATTCCCGGCTAGGAAGTTACTAATTTTTTCTCTCAGAAAAAAAAATTAAAATTTAATTAATGCCTAATGATGGTAGGCGGCGAAACCCTAGTGGAAAATCAAAAATTATAGCGTTACATATCTGATCAGAATCTGGTAAGGTAATCTGATCAGTGTCTGATCAACACCTGACTAAAATTTCCACTCGGGTTAGTTTCTTTGATGGTACAAAAACGCTTTTTGTTTCACATTCATACTGGCCATTCGTCTTCTTTCTCCTGTCGGTGATATTGTCATCTTATTGTATTTTATTTCAACTTCATTCCATATAATCCAATATAATATAGTCTATATATTTAATTTTGGGAAAAAGCTGAAACTAGTAGAACATTCGTCAGCGGAAAATTCAATTTAGGGGATATTTAAGTGTAGGAGAGTCAAATAATCATATGTACAAATGTTTTTTTAATGCAAAGAGTGTGTACATTACTTAAAAATATTTGTACACCCCTAGATTCGCCTGAGACAAATCTTCTGCTGTCGAATCTTTCGCTAGTTTCAGCTTTATAATTTTGGGCTATTATCACATTTTTGCTACTAGTTTTAGTCAGTCCTTTCTCACATTTATATCACAGATCTATATCCACAGTTCCCATGTCCATCAGTTCAGTTCAGTTCATTACTTTGTTTAGATAAAATATCTTGTACAAAGGTAAGAAAGGTTGACATTCTGTGACCGAGTTAACATAGATTGGCTGAAAAATTAAGTACCAAGCTTCTTACTTATACTAGCCCAAAAGTTATACAAAACGAAGACATTGTTTATTGAGGTAGCTTTGAAGAGACTCAGCATCGTTTAGTTTATTAAACTACATCGTTTAATTCATTTTTAATCACAACTGGATCGATAATGAATGGATGTTTTCATTTCATCCAGTCCATCTACATTTCCGGAAATTTCACTACAATTGCCTTATAATTTTACATTTGAATGCTACACACCTCCCACAAGTCAAAAACAGACTATCATCACAGACTATTCAAAAACAGACTATTATATCATCTCTCCGGATATTATGAAAGCTCATTTAAAAAAATTAAGTTATACCAACATTTTTCAATTCTATGAGCTAATTTCAGTGCAAGAACATGAGAAAAATGCAGGAAGAGATCATTATGAAGAAGATGAAAAAGTCGATTCTTCAGTGCCTCTAGAAAATTTTTAAATTGATTTTTTCCACATAACGGTGAAATACATGTACATTATTATTATATATCGACATTTATTATTTTGATCATGCCATTTTAATCAGAGGGAATGCGAAAATTGCCTACTTTTTTCCTTAATACTCCAAAAATGCCCACATATTGGGTTTCTACTATTGCATTTTGATAAAATGTATTGGAAAAATATGAAAGAATGCAAACCGAAGATGGAAAATTTGATTGGTTTATGACAGGGATGATGAATATTAGCTTATTTGAGTTCGACAGCATTAGCCAATAATAAGACTCATAACGTATACAGCACAGTATTGTGAAAAAAATAATAAATTGTCAATTATGCAAATTCTTGGGAATGATGACAAAAAAGTTGATCAAGTAAATAGATCATTAGGTGATTCATTCATTCATAGTGTTAAATTTTGTATTTCTTTTATATTTTTATTTGAGAAAGAGACTAAATGGGAGAAAACGAAGCAAATCTTTGCATAATATCGATTTCAGTTGTGGAAAAGTGGAATGGTTCAAAGGTTTTAGAAGGGTCAGCGAAATTTTTGTCATATTTTTTGTAGACCTAATTTTTCTCTATAAAACAGGCCCTCAGAAAAATTCCGCTACTAATTCCCTCAAATTTCGAAATATTCTACAATGTTTTCTGGGAAAAAGTGAAATGGAAAAAGACCTGCAATCACGAAAACAATTTTTTGCGCTAGGAAAATAACACATATTTGATCTATTCTTTGTGATAAAGATACTGAACGGAAAATTAATATTCTTTTACGACGTGAAATGAGATTCTCAAAGCATGAAGGAATCTGAAATACAAAGATGAGATTATTTTTTCTTCTCAACTAATTGCGATTGCGCTTTTAGTATTTTTAGCTATTTTCTCATGTTCTGACACAGAAAAATGACTTCATGAGCCAAATAATCTTCGCTTCATCACGGAATGTTCATGTACAAGTCAGTCTGACTCATCCTCCGGCATTATTGTCGCAATTATTGTCCCGGGCGATTTGTCTTCAAGAAATTACACATTTGGCTCAAAAAAATTAGGTTTGTTTTCCTAAATGGGTTTTCTCTCGTTCCATTTACCCTCTGGATAAATTCACAATCAACAAGCATTTCGAACTTAGCTTATTAAAGTTTCCCACTCCCCAAAAAAAAACATAAACCACAAACTTTCTAATAAAATCTGAATAAACCATCGAACAGTACTTATGATTGAGCTACTGTAATTTTCAGGAATGAATTCTTGCGGAATAGAAAGTAACGAATCGAAAGTATGCGAAAAATCCCCACAATTGCAATTGATTTTTTGTTCCCTCAGTTTCCATAAATTTCATTCCCCAAGGAGAGCCTCGATAACAAGAAATATCTATTCACGATATCTGTTCGCAGGTCTCGCAGGACGTGAGCCCCATAGATGAATCCCCTGGAGAACCTCTGACTGAATTACTCGGTGAAAGTGGAGACATAAACCAGGCAGACTCCTGTGGTCGTACAGTACTTCATACTCTGGCAGCCGACGGGAATGCATCGCTCCTCGAGCTTGCTCTGGCTGCTTGTCCTCAGGTAGAAAGTTAATTCCGTATTTTTGAGGAGAAAAAAAAATGCACATTTTGAAGTGGAATCATTTCCGGGAATTTTTAATTTGTCTTGATGTACGCACCGTAGGCGAAGCTAGAGGCAACAGACCGTCACGGCCAGACACCTTTGAATCTAGCAGCGAGACACGGATATACAGACGTTGTAAGAGTACTACTGGCCGCAGGTGCCAGTGCCGACCATGCAGATTGCGACGGTTGGACTGCACTGAGAGCAGCAGCCTGGGGCGGACATACCCAGGTACATTCACAGCCAACCATTTCTTCAACAAAAACAGACTCCGATGTAGTTAGTGTGATTATTATTTTTTTCTCCATTTTTATCTTCTGTGATTAACACTTTTTATTTTTATTCCTTAGTTTACTAATTATCTGTCCTCATCCTGTGTACGTCATTAGGTGAATCCTTTTAGATAGCTGACAAGTGTTGGGGAACAATGAGAGATCACTAGGGAACTGATAAATCTTAATATCAAGTCCGATATTTGTGTTAATTGCTCACTCATCTGAAAAATTGAAATTCTCTATAACGTTGCTGTCGTACCGTCGATGTGATTCTATCTCAAAATTCATTTCGTGTATTTGAATATTGAATAGCCGAACGGACAAACAAATGTTATTGAATCATTCATACGAATGTCTCGAATCAAAAATTCAACCGTTTGATGCAAATAGCTATTTGGTATTTTTGCAGCTAATAAATATTTGCACAGACCAAAATAGGTATACGAGTGCTGGAGTTGTTGCTTGTACAAGAAATGGCAATTTTCTTAACAATGAAATCTAATATGTTAACACTCCGTTGGTCGCACTTTTTCCGATTTTTTGAATTACACTGCAGTAAAATCTCAGAAAAATTTGATATCTTATTTTGAAGTGTCTTAAAGCCCTATCAAATTTTTATTCCGAAACTCCGGGCCTTCGACTGTGTATAAGGCGAATTTTCAGAAAAACATGGCAACTTTGAGCTTCAATATATAATTGAGGGTAACGCTGAACATAAAAAATCTCACAGGACTTCTTCAAGTATACGATTTAGATCATTCTTGATTTTTTTCAAATTTTTCAAGTTTAGATCTTTCAAATTTATCGTCATGTCGATTTATGCTCGTGCGGCGCAGTGCTTACGGCGCGACCAACGGCGTTCGTAACTTGTGCGACCAACGGAGTGCTAATGGCTCACTTATGTAGGGGATTGATATTCAATGGAATGTTGCTATCATATCGTCGATGTAATTCTATTTCAAAACGCGGTTTGTGAATTTGAATATTGAATAGCTGAAACGACAAATATCGTTGAATCTTTCATACCAATTTCTCGAACCAAAAATTTGATGCGAATAGTTATTAGTTTTTTTTCTGCATTGAATAACCATTTTGAGAGACCAAACTAGGTATGCGAGTGCTGGAAATAAGAGTTGCTTGCACAAAAAATATTGATTTTTTGAGTAATAAAGTCTGTTTTTGCGACATAAATTTTCAGTCTTGTAGTAATCTTTGAATTTTTCAGCATAAAATATCTGTGAGTCGGTCATCAAAGTGTAATTTTTTTGGTAAAAGTAGGACTTGTAGGAGAATTATTTTTTCTTCAACACTCAATTCTGAAATTTGTCTTAATCTGTCTTACTCGTCTTAAGCTCAATCATGTAGGGGATTGAAAATCAATGAAACGTTTCTATCATATCGTCGATGTAATTCTATCCCAAAATTCGATTCGTGTATTTGAATATTGAATAGCTGAAACGACAAATATCGTTGAATCTTTCACACGAATTTCTGGAACCAAAAATGTAACCATTTGATGCAAATAGTTATTAGTTTTTTTTTGCATTGAATAACCATTTTCAGAGACCAAAATAGATATGCGAGTGCTGGAAATAAGAGTTGCTTGCACAAGAAATATTGATTTTTTTAACAATGAAATCTATCCTTACGACATAAATTTTCCATCTTATAGTACTCTAGAATTTTTCAGCATAAAATATTTTTGAGTCGGTAATCATCAAAGGTTAATATTTTTGGTAAAAGTATGACTTGTAGGAGAATTATTTTTTCTTCAACACTCAATTCTGAAATTTGTCTTAATGACTCAATCATGTAAGGGATTGATATTCAATGAAACTTTGCTAGCGTACCGTCGATGTAATTCTATTTCAAAATTCATTTCGTGCATTTGAATATTGAATAGCCGAAACGACAGACGCCGTTGAATCATTCATACGAATTTCTCGAACCAAAAATGCAGCCATTTGATGCAAATAGCTATTGTTTTCGTTTGCATCGAACAAACATTTCCAGTGACCACAATCCGTATACGAGTGCTGGAAATGGGAGTTGTTGTTGGCGGAAGAAATGCTATATTTCGAGTACGTAAAGGTGTTTTTTGACCCGTGAATATTGAATAGCCAAAACGACAAATATCGTTGAATCTTTCGTACGAATTTCGCGAATCAGAAATGTAGCCATATACAACGATCAATACACACTACACATTTATAACACTCGCCTTCGGCGAGCGCTACCCGCCCCAGGATCAGAATAGAGTATTGTCTACCAAGGGCGGAAAGTCATAATTTCACTGCCCGAGGTGCACATGCTATTTTTCATCGTTTGTGTGCAAAATGAAATTTTACGCACGCTCCGCGTGTGCAATTGTGCGGGATTTTTTGCTCGCCCTGAAATATACTATTTTCGTCCCGGCGGGCGCAAAGTACGCTTCGCAGCAGGGTAATCTGATTTTGCGCCTACGCCAGGGCGAAATAGTATATTTCGTAACGAGTGCAAAAAAGTGTTTTTTGGCGAGTGGGAGGTTTATATCACGAGCCGAGGGCGAGTGATATAATCCCACGAGCTAAAAAACATTTTTTCACAAGTTGCGAACAATATTTTTCATCACAATGTGGCGGAAATTGGACTTTTAGGCACGCGGAGCGTGCCGAAAAGTTCACTTTTCGTCACAGCGTGATGAAAAGTACGGTTCTAACCACAGGACCCACATGGAAAAATATATATACAGAAATATATGTCACTTATATCCGCTTATATGTGGTATACTTTCCGGCAAAAAATGCAATATTTGAGATATATATTGGATATATGTGTGTACATATATGCGACCGGGTATACCTAGCATATACGTGGTATACAAGGCGGATATATTCAAGATATAATTCCGGCAAAATCACTATATCTCACTTATAAGTTTTGGCTTATATTTTTTTCTATACGGGGAGGTGAAATAAAGGACCCTTATACTCACGTGCGGAATTACCACCCGAGTCGAAGGCCAGTTTCGACCTCCACTTTTTGATCCTTTCACCCTTGATGCCTGACCCTTATATTACACTTGAGAGCGCTTGGTGCAATCCGGGCTGACACAAAATAATCATCCTCGAATTGAAACACTCATCCTTCATTCGAGTATAAAATATACTTGAATCAAGTATATTTTATACTAGAATCAAGAAATGTTTTTTTTTATCGTTATTTTACATCGCTTCAACCCGGTTAGGATATACTGCGATGATGATCAAGACTTTACATGGTTAGATCGTACCATTCTACCCGGCCGGGATTTGAACTCGGAACCTTTCGCATGTGAGGTAACGAACTTACCCACTGCGCCAAGCCACCGGGTTTTAATCAAGAAATATGATGAACAGTCGTTAGACAACAGTCGTCAACTCCCCTTTGCAATGTACCTATACAAAATCTTCGTTTTGTAAGCTTGTAGGGGTAGCAAAAGCTATAATATATTAGGATAGGTTACGACAGCTTACATCCTGATAAGCTCTTTTTTATTACTCTCAGCTAGTGTCACTGGCATTACTATAGGAAGAGAATGTCAAAGGCCTTAAAGGTCATACTATCTTGCAGTAAAATTAATTACTAGAATCAAGAATAATGCAGTTGAATCCAGTATATTATATACTCGAATCAAGAATAATATACTTGAATCGAGTATATTATATACTTGAATCAAGAATAATGCACTTGAATCAAGTATATTTTATTCTTGATTCAGGTTAATGCATATTCTTCATTTCGGTATCAAATATACTGAATTCAGGTATATTATTTTTTCGTGTAACCGGAGCGTGCGTAAAATTTCACTTTGTGCACAAGTGATGAAATAGTGGATTTCGTCACACTGAGAGAAATATCGTCATAATATCACAAAACTAATTTCTTGCGCCAAATATCTTACCTCTTGAGGATAAATTTCTTGAGATAAGAATTCCGGATAATGTGTCAGACAATGTCAGATTTCGGTCAAGTGTTCAAAACTTGAACATGAACTTTTCATGATAAAGTGAGAATTTCTTGCCACATGAAATCGGTTTTTTCGTGTCAGAAGATGAGAAAATGACTAAAAATATTAAAAGCTTTGATTCAGTGAATCATAAATCATGATCATGACTTTCATATTGAATGAATAGAGAGTTTACGCGGTGGAAAACCTCCAGATATTTAAAAAATATAACCGCCGCTTACGCTCAATCCCTTTTAGTTCGAAGGGAAGCAATATCTTCTTTTCCCTCTGTCAAACTATTCTTGTCTTTTAAGGAATATTATCTCATATCGAAAAAAGACATCACCTTTTCATTCAGTAACTTCATCCTTAACCCGAAGATCACCGATTTCTTGTCTGAAACCTACCATAAATTGATGAAATATATATGCGATGTTTCCCGCTCAAGGAATGATTTTTGTGATATTATGTCGATCTTTTTCTTAGCGCATAAGGTCGAAAACAACTTTCCTGGCGAAAATGAGTTAGCAGACCGAGCCAAAGGCGAGGGTTGCAATCATACGAAAAGTTTTTCCCTTTGGGGAAAAATATGGGAAAAATCATTTTCCCATATTTTCCCCCAAAGTCACAACATTTTTTCAATTGATTCATAATGTTCCACCACTTCCCTGTCGAAACCCCCACCAAAACTCACAATGAATTTCCCCTCAAGGTCGTCGAAATGCTACTGGAATACGGTGCAATGGTTGACTGCGCCGATTGGGATCAGCGGACAGCACTTCGCGCTGCAGCCTGGGGTGGTCACGAGGACATTGTAAAGGCGTTACTTCAACACGGTGCCGATGTCAATAGAACTGACGACGAGGGTAGAACCGCACTGATAGCCGCAGCTTACATGGGCCACAGTGAAATTGTTGAGCATCTGTTGGACTTTGGTGCCAAGATCGATCATGCTGACAGCGATGGGAGGACTGCGCTCAGTGTCGCCGCACTCTGTGTACCCTCGAACCACGGTTATGCAAAGGTCAGTGAAAATCAACGAACCGAATGGAGGAAATGAGTACATCTTTAACTACACCTTTGACATTAAGCGTTTGTGGTAACGCATAATGATGATGCGGGCTTGGTCAACAGTGTCGGACTGTGTGTAAATATCAAGCGGTTTGTTTACGTGAACGTGCATATATCAAGAGCTATTGAGGAGACATGGCTCCAAACATGTGTCGTAAGACGTGAGGGGTATTTCATTAGAAATGAGAGGATTTTTGACTCGCGTCTCTACAGCTTATGATGTCGCCGGCATCACAATTCCTTCTACGACAACTAAAAGTTCCAATTCTTCGAGGGGCTGGGAACTCCAAGATCGAGTGACACCATGACTGCTAAATGCAGTCAATTTCACTTGATTACGTTAATGATTTCAATGATTTCATTGGATTTATGATTTCAGCGATTTCAAGCATAATTATCGGTGATTTCATGACTTACCATGATTTCATCGATTTCATCCAACTGAAGTCAATGACTTCTGCTCATTGAAATCATTGAAATCTCACCGAACCGAAATAATGATTGATGCCAAAGAATTATTCATCAGAACTATTGAATTTATTGTCACGAAATATTAGCGAACAATTACTTCTCTCAAAATTCTTTGGTCAATTGTCAAGTTCCCCTTATCATCAAAAGTTGGAGGTGAAATAGACTTTTGATACTGTTTGATGTCGATATAGCCTTGAGCCGTCATTGGCTGCGGCAGTAACGTATCTGAATCTTTTTTCATAATACGAGATCGGCGGCGCGTGCTACGCACGCGCCCTCTCCTCTCCTCACCCCAAGTAGCAAACCTTGCGAAAGATATCTGAAAGTATACCAAAAGGGCTGACTAATGTTTGTCCGAAAGGTATCTTGCAGTCATACGATAACTTTTAGTTAACTTCTAGGTAACTTCTAGACACAAGTTACCTTTTTGGACAGACATTAGACAGCCTTTTTGGTATACTTGCAGATACCCTTCAGAACTGTGCTACTTGGGACGTAGCGGCGCATCGGTTTCAGTCTTACGCTTACGCCTAGTCGAGATTTTCGAGATATTTCGAGATCGATTTCCTTTCTCCGTTTTGCGATAGGAGGATAGGATACCAAGATATTCGCAAGAAAAATAATGATAATGATTTTGCTTTGTGGATGTAAAATGAGACTTGGACGTCGGTCACATGCATATACTGATTTCTTTGATTTTATTGACTGCAATGATGTCACGAAATGACTTCACAGTTTGAAATCATGAGGTTTCGGTGATTTCAATGATGCCAGCGATTTCATTGATTTCCGACGTGACTGCAAATTGATTTTAGTGGCATGTGACACCATGATTTCAGAAGTTCCCAGCCCCTCGCAATTCTTTCATAAATTTTAATTAGTTGATTAGAGACAACTCACACATGAGGGATAATCACTCCGGAGAAACTTGCGTTTTTTGGGTTTTCAGGAGATTCCAAAGAATTTCAGAGAATTTCAAATAATCTCGAAGACACTAGGAGAAATTTTATATACTTTCAAGGGATTAGAGTACAGCATGAAGATTTAGAACAGCTCCCATACGGAGAAATATGTATTCTGAAAATTGTATACACTGAGAGAAAAATCTGAAGTTTGATTTACAATACGAAAATAGTTGAGGCATTTTCGTGAACGATACGATTTTTTTTGTATGCGGCACATAACATTATAGTAACTTCAGAAGCGTAATTTTTGCAAATCAAAATGCAGTTAAACTAACCAAAGTTCAAAAGTAACCACGACAAATCTATCGTGAGGAGAACTATAAAATAGTTGCAATGACTACATTCCATTGTAGTAATTACTTCTCCGGCCATAGTTACCGTAACCCATGAAAAATTGTTGAGGACTTTTTGACTATAATTCGATGGTGATGGAATATAGTCAGAAGAATTATATTTTTCTCTCAGTGTATGTTATATATGGAATTGGCCTGATTTATATATAAAAGTTATCGGGGAGAGTCGGGCAAAATGGGACGTTTCGCGATCGTCTCTAATTGTCTGATATCTTCACTTATAAATGAAGATATTGACAATTGAAAAACATCTCAACACGTCCCATTTAACCTGACCCTCCCGTATAAAATAGAAATTAATATATGTTCCATATATATTTTATATCAATCGTATATATATTCAAAGAATATATTAAATTGGCCTATATTATATATATTTTTTATATGTTTTTCCATGGGGGTTGACATCCCTTTCTCTGCATATTCTAATGAAATTACAGTGAGATTTCTGATGCGATTTATTAATGAGAATTCGCAAGATTTCACGAAAATTTTCAATTTTAACACCAGGTTTCATGACTGATGACCTCCTCATTCACACAACATTCTGAAAATTCAAAACATATTCATGCGAACTCCAAAACTAATAGTTGACAGAAGTTCAAGCATTTTTCGTTTTTTTTTTCAAAAGCGCATGTTTCCATAAGAGCCCATGTTACATTTTAAAACTTTAACGGTTTCATCATCCACTCGAAAACTCGTGAGTAGATTCAAGTTGTAAAAAACTCAGGCCTGAATTTGCATTACAATTTTCTCTGCATTTTTTACCATCCCGCTATAATATGCGTAAGCTCTTAGTAAACACTTCGGATTTAGAAAAAATCAGAAAGCCTCCTATTTGAGGAAGATTTATGAAATAATAAAAGATCTGAATAATTCATAAGCAATCAATGTTTTACCCTGAGAATAATTCTTGCGCAATTTATTTCTAACAAAAATATTTTGACCTGAAATGTAAAAAAATGAATTCATTATCTGGAATTTTTTCATGAAAAGAAATCAGAAAATTATGGAGATCGATTGGTAATATTTTTAGTCATTAGAAATGATTTTTCATTTAATAAAAAACACCTTCCTGGGGCCATTATGCACCCATAATATAGAAGGAAGCTTTATCTTTTATCATTATGTAATCTAATCCATTTTCTCAGTCTTCAAACCCTAACCATTCATCTGTAAAGACAAACAGTTCATGTTTATGGCCTTATAATGACCCCAGGAAGGTGTTTTTATTACTATAATTACAGCGGTTGAACAACAACGTGGTAATTTTTCATTTAGTTATGAACGATTCTTGAAATTCGTTTCTTCGAAATTGTAACAAATTTATTCATATTCAGAATTTTACTAGAAATCAATTTCATGCCTATAAAAATAGGATTTCCCAAAGTTTAAACAATTTCAATTATTTATTTATAAACGAGTATTAAAAAAAAATAATGATTCTGTGCAAAATGAAATTTGAATGACGCTGAATATTCATAGTTTTTTTTTATTCAAAATTTTCCCACACAATTTAATTGACAAATTTGGCGATTGAGAATGGCTGAATATATAGTGCGGTCTGTACCGAAGTGTAAAAGATACTTGGATGTCCTTAAGAACCCATCGCCTCTTCCAGGTGGTTACGATATTACTTGAGCGAGGTGCAGCAGTTGACCACCAAGACAAGGATGGCATGACGCCCCTCCTCGTCGCAGCATTCGAAGGTCACCGAGATGTTTGCGAATTGCTCCTCGAATACGAAGCCGATGTTGATCATTGCGACGCGACAGGAAGAACACCGCTGTGGGCGGCAGCCAGTATGGGTCATGGCTCCGTTGTCGCATTGCTATTGTTCTGGGGCTGTTATGTCGACAGTATAGATAATGAAGGAAGAACGGTGTTAAGCGTCGCTGCAGCTCAAGGGGGCACTGACGTTGTGAAACAGCTGCTTGATAGAGGCAAGACTTTTTTTTCCCCTGTAATTCACCCATTAATTAAAATGACATCATTACGTTTTTTCCCCCTGACAACAAAGAAAAGTTTAGTAATGAGGAAAGAACAATGGATTTTTTCATTTTAATGATCATTTCCTTTTTCTAAAGGATAAAAATGTTTTCAACTGTTATTGTTATTTTAAAACAGGTCTCGATGAACAGCACAGAGATAATTCTGGCTGGACTCCCTTGCATTACGCCGCATTCGAGGGACATTTGGATGTATGTGAGGCATTACTCGAGGCTGGTGCCAAAGTAGATGACGTTGATAATGATGGAAAGGGGGCATTAATGCTGGCCGCGCAAGAGGGACACACAGCCCTTGTCGAGAGACTCTTGATGCAGCACGGAGCACCCATCGATCAGCATGCACACGACGGCAAAACCGCTTTGAGGTATAGATTCGAAAGACCCATCGCCCCCCGCCCCATATTCACACGTCTCTTTTTAGCTTCCAATATTTCCGCTCACTCCGGCGTAATAATCTCAATCGGAATTTCACCACAGCTATTCCATGAAAATTCTTATTTTGTTTTAATTTTAATTACGTGCCTAGGGGAGAGTAGGGCAAAATGAAACAGCCGAAAAATTAGTATTATCCGCAATTCAAGCAAAAAAAAATTTTGTCTACTTTTTTTATTATTGGGATTACTGATGAGAATAATAACTTTCTATTCGGCAGAAAGAATACGTGGTGCGAAAAAATCACTGATATTCGAAACCTCTATGTAGGATATCGACTACCTTCACAGATGAATCCCATTCCCCTGTTAGATCTCGATCTCAACGTCCACTAGTCAGCTTGTCCCCTGACTCTCCAGCAGCCAATTAAGAACTCGTCATCGCTGAGTCTAGGTTCTCTCCTCATTCGAAACTCTCGAAGGTTTTTCATATATCTCTTATATTTATTTATTTCATCATATGTATACCCTCTCGGGCCGTTACATTTTGTTCCCATCCCTACAATGAAACCCCGACAGAGAATTACACTTAAAAATTATTAAACTAAATTAGGTCAAAGTAAATTACATTCAATTTAGTTGTGCTTGGCACAAGTTCTAGATATATAGATACAACGTTTGCACTTAGTAATTGCAGGGTACTGTATTTTTTATATCACAGTAAAAAATCTTATTTTTCAATTTTAAAGATTTTAAAGTTTTTTAATTTTTAAATTTTTTAAATTTTTGTCAAAGCTCTTGAACGACTAGCGTCGCTATTATAAAATCCTTAAATGAGTTTAACAGCTGAAACAATGTCTGAGAATACGAACAAGAAAACAAAACCAAAAATGCTCGCAGGCTTCTTACAAATGACCTAAAATTGACCTAGCTGCCCTACACTTTGGCCTTTTTTCGCAAAGAGTATATCTCTTATATTGAGACGACAATATTAGGGGAGGATGGGGTAAAATGGACACTTTGGACTTTTTTAAAATTACTCATAACTCAGAAACAAATTGTGGGCATCTACATGAAAAGGGCCCACTTTGTCGGTTTGGAGTTACGTATATTCCGATAATCTTTGTGAGATTCCTCACATTTTGAGCCCAAAATTAAGACGATAGTATGAAAAATGACGTCGGTATACAAGATCAAAAAATCAGTTTAACATTGGTTTAAATGGCAGGTGTGAACACAAAAACGTGAAACATCGCAAAATAAATGCGACAAAGTGGGCCCTGTTCACGTGGACGTACACAATTTATCAATTGAGCTCAGCTTAGGCCCATTACAAAGGGAAACGAAAGTTCTTTGCAATGAAAGAAAAAAAATTGAATTTCATCACCATTTCACCCTGTCATTAACATTTTTAAAAAACGTCAAAAGTGTCCATTTTACCCCAACCTCCCCTCATAATTTTCACTAATTTTATCCACAGTTCTCTTTTCAAGTAATATGGAATATTTCATCTATAATTCAATTGATTAGATTCGGGAGGTTACACTTCTCTTTTTTCATTCGATTGAAATTCAGCATCATATTTTTCTTTTTCCCCCACTGGGTCTCTTCCTGGGTCTTCCTCTGGACTTTCAATTTTGCTGTTTCATTTTCTTTTCAATTAATCCATTGACAAAATCTTCCCCTGTCAAAACTTCTTAATAATTTTCCATTCTATTGAAGGGAAAATTATTATTCTCATCTGTATTTCCAATAATAAACAAAAGGTGATAAAAAAAATAGTTGATAAACAATTTTTTTTGCTTGAATTGCCCCAAACAATAGTTTTTCGACTGTGCGATTTTGCCCCATGTTTTCACTGTTTCATTTTGTCCCATTAAAATAGCACTCACGTTACACGGGATCAAGGGGGGGGGGGGGTAAAAATACAATAAAAAACGATTGACAGCCATATTAACTGTGAGAACGGAAGTAAAAAGACATTATTAAATATTGCTAAGATCGAGTGATAAGACCAAGAAAGAGTATATTTACATCCTTTCTTCCTCCTCTTCTTCTTATTATTACTTACATACAAGTCTCTCTCTCATTGCATACAGAGCAGTCCCTATACTCTAGAGCCGCAATCATAAAAAGGCTAATCTTTTCAGTTGCTTTGAATTGTGAATGTTTGGAAGCGAGAACAAGAGGTCTTTTTCACATCTTATGTGACCGTCATATTCCATCTAAATAGCAGTAAGAATGTCGATTCCGAACAAATGATTTTTATTGTGGAAAATTGATTAATTGTTTCCAAATTATTTGTAGAAAATGTTCATAATTTTCAAAAATTTCACTTTTTAAATTAGTTCATGAATCTTCCCCCAAAAGTTTCCTCCAAACTTTCTACCTTTTTTTCACATTTTTAAAATATTTTCTAACAGTTCAATATCAAAATTCAAATTCAGACCTGCAAAGTTTAAATAATAAAATAATTCTAAAATGTCCGGAAACTTAGGGTCAAATGGGACTCAAATGAAAGCTCTGATGTTCGACTACACAAGTAAAAAGCATTTCACTGGAGAAAAAATTGCCAAAGTCCTTGGATATTCTTAAAGTCTAGAGGAGAGTGGGATCAAATGAAATAGCCGAAAACCGAATATTTGATGTAATTCAAGCAAAAAAAATTTTTTTTCATCAGCTTTTGTTTATTAACTTTTTTTATTATTGGGAGTACTGATGAGAATAGGGAGGCTAGGGCAAAACCGACCAGTCGGGCAAAACGGACTGCAAGGCAAAACGGACCACTAACAGAAAATTGATAATTTTTTCATTTTTTTGATAGTTTTTTGCTTCCGAATGGAGGTGATTAGTAGATTTGATCAAATTGCGGTTCAATGGCACTTGGTATCTATAAAACCCCTGTGACGGTCATGATCCTGAAACTCACTTTTAATTCAACACATTCAGTGTTCCTGATTTGAACGAAAGAAAAAAAAGCAAAAATGACCAATTTTCTGTCAGTGGTCCGTTTTGCCTTAGGGGTCCGTTTTGCCCTCCTGATCCATTTTGCCCTACCCTACCCTAATAATTTTCTATTCGTCTTACAATTCAGATAATTATACTGCACTTCATTAGATTAGGCTGATTAAACTTTTCTTTTTTCATTCGATTCACATTCAGCATCACCTTTTCCTTTTTTCCCCTCTGGATCTCCCCCTGGGCCTTGTTCTGGACTTTAAATTTTGCTGTTTCATTTTCTTCTCAATTAATCCATTGACTAAATTTTCTCCCGTCAAAACTTCTCAATAATTTTCCATTCTACTGAATGGAAAATTCTTATTCTCATCAGTACTCTCAAGAATAAATAAAAGTTGATGAAAAAAAAATTGATTGCTTGAATTGCGTCAAACAGTCGTTTTTCGATGTGACCAAAGTCGCTGGGTCGTGTAGAGTGACCAGACTAGAGTTAACTCAAAAACTACGAAAAGTCCCTGAGACACCAATTACCAATTCAAACAGCCTTTCCCCGAGCCACGAATCTTGCTAATCCCCTATTGTCTCATTTAGACTTGCCGCACTCGAAGGCCACTACGAGACTGTTCGAGTGCTATTGGCTCACAGTGCCGACATTAATGCCAAGGATGCAGACGGCAGAAGTACCCTCTACATTCTGGCACTGGAAAATCGCCTGGCAATGGCAAAATTTCTGCTGGAGCATGCGCACGCTGACGTTGAGAGTCGTGACTCCGAGGGTAGAACACCCCTGCACGTGTCTGCATGGCAGGGACACGATGACATGGTGGCACTGTTGCTGACAGAAGGTGCAGCGAGTGTCAACGCCTGCGATAACGAGAACCGAACGCCCCTGCACTCCGCTGCCTGGCAGGGGCACGCTGCCATCGTGAGGATTTTACTCGAGCACGGAGCGACACCTGATCACACTTGCAATCAGGGCGCCACAGCCCTGGGTATTGCTGCCCAAGAGGGGCACGAGCACTGCGTTCGAGCGCTTTTGAATCACGGGGCAGACCCCAGTCACTCCGATCACTGCGGGAGAAATGCCATTAAAGTTGCTGCAAAGAGCGGTCACGACACTGTTGTCAGACTCCTTGAGGAGCATTCAGCGAACCAAAGGAGTCTGAGACCCGCTTTAAATGGGGGTGGAAGCAGTTCTGCAACATCAGTCACGTCTAATTCAACGGCTGAAACCAAGCCCTCGTCAGCCATTCTCAATCCACTCTCGACTCAATACAGTCCAGCTGAGTCCCCAGACTCTACTAAAAGACGAAGTTGCGTGTCTCTGGGAAATAACTCTAGCAACAGCAAATCGAGTAGTAATTTAACGGGCTCGACTAAGAGTGATCAGGGCAAATTCAGCCAAAATCCGATGGTCAATCAGGTGATCAAAGCACCCCTATCTTTCACGCAACAGTTGCAACAGTGCTCGAGGGGTGTAAAAAGTCGACCACTGAGCAAACTCCTGTCTCCATTGAAGAGCGAGCCACAGTCTCCCATTTATGCTTCACCACCCCACTCGCCACTGAGCGACAGCCTCATTCCGTATTCACCTACGAATACTAGTCCACCGAGTGCACAGACAGCTGCCAGTGTTATACAGAGCCAATTGGGGGTTTCACTGCTCACTGGTAATCAGAGTATTCAGTACAAGCCTCAGAGCGGTGGGTTTCATCATACGGGGGCTATCTATGAGCCGATTGATATTAAAACTGAGTTCATTGACAAGAATGATGGGTCCAAGCCCTTTGAACTTACCAATGAGATGCTGGGACTCAAAATCAAGGATAAGAAGAATGGGCATGATGATAAGAGGAATTCGGCGGATACGCATTTCACGAGGGATACGCATATGAGGATTATTCTGGGGAATAGTGGCGCTGGGGTGGGACGAAATGTTAAGCATACGGCTGATCATGTTACATCGAGGTAAAGTGGAATTATTATTCGTTTCAGGCGCGGGTGTACTGTCTTTTAAACGTTATCTCGATGTTTTTTTCATCTTTCGTCATCTGAAATTGTCAATTAAGTCATGCATCATGCAGAAGTTTTGACATATTCTGAATGAATAATCAAAAAAAGTAGAAAAAATTCTTAATTTTTTCAAAGAGTATTTTTAATTTATATTCAAAATAATTTGAGTAACAAGAAATTGAAAAATGTATCTGATTTACGGTGACAAATGGCGGCTTGTGGTCCAATATCTTTTCCCACACTGGACAGAGACATTTATTACGGAAAAGGCTCTTTGAAAAAAGTTGTAATATTTTGGAGAATTTTTTAATCACACTTTTATCACCTAAAAATGGCAGATGACCACATACCACTGTTTTGAAAATTGAGATACCTTGATGTCACTTCCCATGAGGAGCTAGTGTTTTGTTATCCACCATGGAAAATGACAGCTAATAGATAATTTTCCACAGCGAATCAGATATTTATAATTTCCACTTTTTTCAACTCATTTTGATTGTCAATTAAAAACGCTCTTTGAAAAAGTTTAGAATTTTTTCTATTTTTTTTATCATTATATCATAATTTTTGGGAATTTCTACATGATGTACCACTCAATTGATAATTTTGGATTACGAAAGATAAAAACAATCCAGATAACATTCGAAAGATAGTACACTCGGGCCTTAAATAGAGTCTGCAGTGCACAAAACAAAATGATACTTTATTTGGAATTTTCAAAGGTCTTCAAATAAGATTTTCGAAAGCATTAATTTGAGGTTTGAAATTCTTTTGGTGTCACTCAGTGAAGACTCCTTTACACACGCTGTGCGTAGAAAAAATATGCTTCCTCACTGTGTCGAAAGTACTATTTCATCACGTGTAAGGAAAGCAAAATTTTACGGACGCTACGAGTGTGCGAAATCCCACTTTCCACACATTGTAACGAAAAATAGAGTTCGACACTCGTAGAAAGTGTTCTTTCACCTTTGGGAGGGTAATACTCGCCTTCGGAGGTCAAAAAAAGCATTTTTCCGGCCTGTTGCGATGGAGTTTTTTTCCTCGTGTGGCGTTGGCCTCCAAGCCGTAGGCGAGTACTGCTTCTCACGATTTCTCGTCTGGGAATTGGTATTACATACTTCCCAAACTCGAAAACTTGAAACTCACTACAGAAAAATATTGTTCCTGGGCTGTTGCGATGGGTTTTTTTACTCGTGTGGCGTTGAAATAGTATATTTCGTAACGAGTGCAAAAAAGTGTTTTTTGGTGAGTGGGAGGTTTATATCACGAGTCGAAGGCGAGTGATATAATCCCACGAGGTAAAAAACATTTTTTCACGAGTTACGAACAATATTTTTCATCAGAATGTGGCGGAAATTGGACTTTTAGGCACGCGGAGCGTGCCAAAAAGTTCACTTTTCGTCACAGCGTGATGAAAAGACTTTTACGCACTCGTATCAAAATATACTCTGAGAATATACTGAGAATTTTGAAAGCTTCAATTAGAAACTTTGAGATCTCAATTTAAGTTTTCTGAAAATATTAAGTTGAGAATTTTGAAGGTCTTAATTTAAGACCTTGAAAGTCTCAACTTGTAACTTTTGAAGGTTTCAACTTACGATTTTCAAACTCATAAATTGAAAACCAAAAACCATTAAGATGAATGAAAATTAATTAATTAAATTGTTTCGAAAGTTTCTATTTGAGACCTTCATGGAATGAAATTGACACTTTTGAATGCATCAAGTTACAATTCGTGGAAGTCTCAACTTGAGACTGTTGAAAGTTTCAAAATAAAGTTTGTTTTTTAGGGTGTATTTGACGGAAAGCCAATGGGGATAGGATTTCAAATGATTTTTGGGATGCAATACTATTTGGAAAGATTATTCCAAGCTGATTATTGTTAATAAATGAATAATATTCGTTAATTATTGCTTCTGAAACCGAAGTGCAATAGACCTTTTCTATTTTATTCTGATGAAGAAGTAAAATTAGATAGTATTAGCTTTTTGCTTTCACTATTTAAATGAAAGAGGCAAATACTCAATAGACTTTTGTCGTCTGGTGTTCATTTTGTTTGTTATTTGTTGAAAACTGCTACAAAATTCGTTCATTGTTTCCAATGGTTTTGCTCTATTTGAATGTTCCCTCGAATAGAAAAAAACTACTTGAAATAAATAAATAATAAAGGAACGTAAATATTTCAGAGAATCACCAAATATTCATTTCATATAATATTTTTCCGGTCAAGCTAAATAATATTGCATTCACAATTTTTGATTAACTGGAAGTAGAAATTATTTCAAACAGTATTTTTCTGCTGTAAACTATACAAACACTATCTTATTCATCGATTTAGGTGTGTTGGATTAAAAAAATGACCCATTATTATAATGGGAAATGCATTTATTTATTTATTTATTTATTATTTTGTAATTTCTGAATGAAATCATAAAAATGATGTTTCATTTCCCATACTTGATTATTTAAAAATAGCCCAGTCGTAAATATTTCGCTTGGCACCTCAAAGAATTTAATGGATCTCACTGTTAATAATTTTTCATTTATAATTTCCAGCGCAAATTCAAAACCAAAACGAAATGGCTTGGTGACAAATCCTGCAATGAGGCTCGTCGCAGGAGTTCGAAATGGATTTGAAAATGCAACAAACCGAAACAAGCCAATAACCACACGAGTCAACGGATTCCAGTGGAAAGCTGAGACGCGCAAAGAAACACCTCTCTAAACTAACATTTCCACTCGAACGAAACGAAAAAAAAATGTCACAATAATGCGAGACAACGGAGTTAGTGAATGAAGAAGGTGAAAGTCAATAAATGATTAATTAATTCGTTTTCATTTGAGCTAAATCAAATTGCCTCGATAGCAAAGTGGAAGCAAAATAACTGACAAATGTATGTACTTGACAAAATCGTACTGATGAATACGAAGAACAAAAATATTATAAACTCAATACCAAATATTAAACGGCATAGGAAATGTATGTAGAGATATAGTGACGTAAAGTAATCGAAAAATAACTTTGTATAAATGTAACGTTAATAAAAATTCTTAATCGATCTCACTAATACCTATTATATTATAAAAATAATAATGTTTGAAGACAATTTTTTTAGCATCATGAGTGACAAATACTGAAGAAATAAATCATAATTGAGATTGAGCCCCGGAAGACTGGTCGAATTAACGAAGAGCGTGTGATGCTCACACAAACGATTTAAATTAAAATTCAACAACTGTAAAGATATGTAAAAAGTTTGGAAGAATAATGATAACGAGATGACTGAGATATTATCAATTTCTAGAGGAACCTGAATAAATCGAGCGAATGCTGAACAATACGTAAAATAATGGCCTCTAATTCATGAATGAGCCTGTGTAAATATATGATTTATGTACTGGACATGATCATATTTATTATTAGATTGTAGTAGGTGATATAGTAATAATAAATGATGAGAATGAAATAAATTAAACTATTGATTCTACATGTAATGAATTTGTTTTATGAAATTGTGTTTCAATAAACTGTGTTCCAATCACAGCTGCATGGAGACTATTGGAAATAATTATCTGAAAATCATTATTTCGGACGATTAAATATTATTTATTTACTCCTGAGAATAGAATTACCTATTCTATTTCACTATTTCTATAAAAGAGAAACGGGACAAGTCATTCTGTAGTCATTTTATTTGTCAAGCCCTTTGTTAAAAATGGTTTTCCATTATTTAGCAAATATTTTTGTGGTTGAAAGATTTTTGTTTACTTCCTCTGTTTGAATATTCCATCAAATGAAATGGAAATATTTCAAATTACATTTTTCTCCATCGAATATTGAGTTATTCCGCATGTTTCATAACTTCTAAATATCAAATAATCATGAATATTTCAATTAATAATCCAAAACAAGTAAAATTTTTTATTTCAATCTTCCAATAAAGAAGCCAAATAATCGACATTTTCTGCTATAGAGTTTTTGTTTTATTTCTTATCTATTTTATTGTTTTCAAAGATTGTCAATTAAATATCAAGAACTACTGTGATTGAAGAATTTCATGGAATGAAAAAAATTCATCGTGAATAATGAAATGAAAATAATTCAAGAGGTTCTCATCAACTATTCATTTCGATCAATATTTCGCATTCATCAATGAAAAATAGGAATGATTTCGAATATAATTTCCTGCATCAAACAATGCAAATGCCATTTAATTCATCACACTTGCAAAATTCAACTTAACAAATATCCACGAATATTTCCAACAATATTCCCCCAGCTCTGGTTCCCCTCAAGGTAAATATCGAATAAAACCACCAGTTTCAAACAGACAGAAATATATTTGTTTATACACAGAGACAATATCACTAAAGACAGCTCGAAAAAGTACACTGCAGTCACGTTAATAACAGCATCAATCCACGATGTGCCTGTAGCCAAGCACGTCGAAACGTTTCCCACGTCATACCTTCAAAATAATTCACCGAACGAGAACAAGAACAAGAGAGTCGCGGTGATTAATTAATTTTCGCAACAGCAGCGTTTCACTCAATAAATAGAACGCTCGATCCACCTGAGTCTCCCATCATCCCCCAATAAATAGAAATTCGTAATTAACGAATCAACAAGACAATTCATTCCCCCCATCACAAATTAAGTAACAAAATTGCATAGGCCTAGTGGCTGGAATGACGGTTGAAGATCAAGACTGAACGTAAATTGATAAAATACTACTCTAAATGCATCTATCACGTTCAAGCCCACGAGTATATGAGACAATTGAATTCAACTACTTTGTGTACTAATTTTTGTTAATCCTATTAGGGCTCCATAATGCTCCGGCTTGCTCCTTCGATCCTATATCTCAACAAATATTAAATACTCTGTTTCAATCCCTGACCGTGCGGACGGCAAGAGAAAAAATATGGCAAATATATCTTCACTTCGATCATAAAATCTTTACGACAGCTGTATTTTTTCTTCTATCCGGCCAACAATTCATCGTTTATTGCACTCATTAACTCTCTTCACCATTACATGATCGTTAAACCGGTTTCAGTGAATTAAGATCAACGATATAATTTGTAATCGAGTTCCAGTGCACGAATAATGAGATTAACTATTGGTCAAATGTAACATTATATGGTAATAAAATATTTGACGCCCTAACCGACGTCACGGAATGAATTCTAGTTTCATCATTAGTATTATTATTCCTTCGATTTCCCTCAGGTGCGTCAGGATGATAAGTTAGGCGTACGCCCATTGAACTACGATACTTCCACTGGGTACAATTTACCTAGATAAACCTGATAAAATCACTGATTCGTTTTATTATTTTTTCCTCCAATCGGACTGACGCGAATTGACTCCAGTTAATCCGTTCTAATACATTTTTTTTATCGTCTCAACTACTACGTGACATATTTGCGTTTGCTGGTGGAACGTTTGGTAAATTGACTATAGGATATTCTTCTGAATAAATAATTACACAAAATTGTACAATTTTTCGCTCGCTTTCAAACCGCTCATTCCAGGCCACCTTCCTCCTCGAGTTTCGAGAGGAATTTGGGAACTCGGTAGCTCGGCTCGACCTGTCGTGCCATGTCAATCAGACCCAGTAGTTTCTTAATTCCAATGAAGACACGCTTGCCTTGCAGTCGCCCATGGAGGGAGGCTATTTCCTCCTTTGTGAATATTTCAACTTCCTCCAGAACTGAGAGCAGATGGTCGGGGGTGGATAAGTTGGGGACGTGGAGGATTGTGCTGAATGCTGAGAGGAGCTCCATATCTTCGAGGACTTGCCTGTGAACACGTCGTTGGAGAATGTCAATGGATGATGAAATTATTGTTACGAGTTTGGAATATAATTCGGATTTTGCATAATATTGTAAAATTGTCTATCGGAAAAAATTGTCTCGAAAAGAGTTATGCTTAGATGACTCAGAATTATTCGAAATGTGGACATTTCCTATTCCCTGAGAAAAAATTATATGACCTGTTGGCACAACTCACGCGATTTTTTTATTGCTCGATATGAAAACTAAATCATAAACCATTCGGAACGTGTTTTTTTATTTTATTCATTTTTTGTTTTATTTATTTTTATTTTTATAGGTAGTTAAAAAGTTCCCATGATTTTTCAAAATAAATGAAGTGGGTACGTGCGTTTTCTTTCTGATAGTATATCACTTGATATTATTATTTTAAATTAAATAAAATATCTTTGTTAATCAGTCGGGTTAGTTTTTGAACTTATTTATATCGGCTACAGAAAATGGCATTAAAAAACACTTTTCCTAGCATAATTAAATCATTTTGAAATATGATATTTCAAAAAATCGTCAGAAAACAGTTAAAAAATAGCAAAATCATTGTATAAATCGAACCAACAGATGTAGATGTTGTTATCATCTTTGAAGTTGCAGAAAGTGGCATTGAAACGAATATTTTGAACTTCGATTGAATCAATTCGAATCAATTTATATTAAATCAATTTATTTGAATGAATTTAATATCGTCGGAACCCGATTTTTTCAATATGAAATTTTAAAAACTTATTCTATAAACCAAAACAACGAACATTATTATCGACTTCATCTTTAAACTCGGTCGAAAGGACATCCGAATATTTTTTTCCTCCGTCATTGAATGGATTGAATGGATAGAATGGATAAAGGAAGTTATTTTCATTATCATCGGCCAACCGATATGTGAAAAAATTCTAAAAACTAATATATGAATTAAACTTCAATTAAGTTACAACTAAGTTTCAAAAAAAGTTAAATTCCGTCGATACATTAGCGAACCATTCAAGAAGAGCAATTTCATTATTTTACTGAACCCAATTCCACCTCTACAAGTTTTATTCGAATTCGTTAGAGACTCCAAACGATCGAAGAATGAGGCTAATGAGTTGCGATAATTCAATTGAGACAGAAATTACAATATTTCAACATCTCTGATAGGTATAACTAAAGCTCTCAGCCAAATTATCCATCATTTTCAATAGACATAAGTCAGAAATAGATCAGAATCGATTGATATTACCATTATAACGTCACAGGTACAATAGCATTAAAATACTTTTCTTCAGAAAAATTCTATTTACAATAATTTAATAATCTTTTGATTTGGTAACGCTTTTCCCCGAAGAACTCTAAACTCCATACAAAAAATAAAAGATCTCAAATGTGGAATTAAAGTTGTTTCACACTTTTTTGATTATTTTTTCTTCTTCCATTGAAAAGCTCGCGAAATCGCCTGTCAAGCTAAATTTTTCAATCCTGCTCCCCCCAAAAAAATAAAATTCAACTCGTACTAATCATTTTACTCACCTGCGACTAGTAGTGCACAGCACCAAAAGTTTCTTTCCCTTCGGCGGTTGTTTCTTAAGTAGAACCAGCAGTGCCTGCAGCGTGAGATTCGAATACCTGGGTCCAATGGGTCCATAATCCAGCAGACGTTCGATGTTATCCACAAGAATACAACTCAACTGCGAGCGATAAGCATCATCAAACACTTTGCGTATCGACAGACACTTGGCATTTTCAGTGAATCCAACCATATCATCAGGAGTGCAAACTTTGGTGAACGGAAAGTCCGAGTTCTTAGCAATTTGTGCAGCAAGGGCAGTCTTCCCACTGTTGGGCGGTCCCTCCAGCAGAACCGAGACAAGGCCGAAGCCCTCGGTGGCCCTGGCCTCCTGAATGTAAAGATTGCCATCAGCAAGTATCTCCGCAACAGGTCTCCCCCAGTTGAGAATGCCCCTGGCAAGAAGATGATCGAGGGCATCAGCTGCTGTGCCAAATGCTGGCTTCACATCATTCTCAAGCGCCAGAAGGAAATCCGTTCGTGACACCATGAGTTTCTCCATCGCCGAGGGATCCACCTCGACCTTACTCGATGCCTTGATCAATTTATTCATTGCTGTGCTCTGAGCAGCCCTCACCAGACCCTCCAGCTCAGCTCCACTGAAGTTCTTCGTCAACACTGCCAGCTCCTTGAGATCAACATCCCCTGCAATCTTCTTGTGATCGCGCATACGACCTGTATGAATATTCAAAATCTGAAACCTGCCATGCTCATCGGGCAAACTGATCTCCATCTGCACCTCCAGCCTTCCAGGACGCAGCAGAGCCTCGTCGATCATATCCCTTCGATTCGTCATCCCAATGACTAGAATATTGTTCAACTGCTCAACACCATCGATCTTAGCCAGCAACTGATTCACAACTGTGTCATGAACCCCAGTGTTACCAGCGACACTTCCTCGAGACTTGCAGATGGCATCTATCTCGTCGAATATGATTATGTGGAGTCCACTGTTGGGACCGAGTCTCTTCTCCTCCTCTTCGGCGTCAGCGAACAGTCTCCTGACATTCGCCTCACTCTCCCCCACGTACTTGTCGAGGATCTGAGGACCATTCACGATCTTGGGTTCTCGTGCATTCAACATCGTTCCAATCTGACGTGCCATCAGCGTCTTTCCAGTTCCAGGGGGTCCATACAGTAAAATACCTTTGACGTGTTTGCAACCCAGTTGCATAACTAGTTCTGGGGGGAACACGCGTGAGGCAAATGCTCGTCTGAAGATCGCACTGAACTCTTTGTCCAGACCACCAATTCCCATTTTAGCAAAGTCCCAGTCTGGATTTATGATGGATTGGCGCACCATTTTTCCCTTGGCCTTGCCAATGAGATTTAAACTCGAGTTGTCAGCCTTCTCGAATTGAATGACAGTGTCACCCAGGCATCTGCCCATTCTCGTTTTCTTTGGTTTTGGCTCTTGGCCTGATTTTATCGCTGATATGTCCGCTGCCTCGAGATTCTTCACCACGAGACCGAGCACTTTTTTGTCTAGGAATTGAAATGCCAGTTGTTGGCCAACTGTGAAGGCTTGACCTGAAAATTGGAGGAGGAATTCCTTGGCCATGAGCTCTGTGTCGTAGGGTTCGAGGGTTGTTTTCGTCTTTAGGAGGAAGTCAGCTTCTAGGACAATTGTGCAGAGAAACTCGGAGGCCGAGGTGGGATCGAAGTGGTAGGGACGAACATCGATCTCCTGGTTGAGGGAAAGGGCCGCCCACTTTCGCTGGGGCAGACTGAAGCCCACGGCTCCATGGGGCACCTCAGGGTGACTTTTTACGGTGAATACGAAGTGCTGATTTGGCCCAGTTGTCACTTCAATGTGCCTGGGGAAATAAAATCAATATTTACTGGTGAAATAATTAATTCAATGGTAAATCAATAGACTATTTTCAAGAATAGAAGTAGTTTTTGAAAGATTTGTCTGAAGTTGATTACTTCAGACGATAAATAAATGACGATAATTGCTATTTATTGATTTCTTATTTCTGGTATGTATGGAATCAATTTGGGTGATTTTTAGCAGAGTGCACTGGTAGAAATATCGACATAATAACAGAAAATTAACTAACATTATGGGATAAGAATTCGTAATACATAATCATTCATAATGAGTCAGACAATGTAAGAATTTGATGGAGTGTGCATGACTCGAACATAAACACTTCACGATAAAGCGAGAATTTCTTGCTTCTGATAATCGACATGATTCCATTTTCAATAAAATGTTGAAAATCTTTTTTTTTTTCTGACGGTTCACCCTTTCACCCCTGAATAAATCCGCACTGTCCCTTAAAGAAAATAATCAGCTCACTTCAGATGCTCATCAATTATCTATTACCAATTCTTCGTATTTTTTTATGAGAAACTGTTGAATTTTATTGATGAATACTATTGTATTTTTGTTTTTTATTTTTTTGTTACTTGTTGTGACTCTAAAATGACAAATGGTCATTAATATTTCAATTAATATATCTTGGGAAAGACTGATTTTAGGAGAAAATGTGTAAAGATCATTGTTGAGGCCAACGAAATTTTTAACAAAACATATTTTGACATTTTCGGCAAGTACGACTCATAATCGACATAATTCAATATTCAATATAATGTCAGAAATAGTTTTTCTGAAGTGTCACTCGTGAATTAATCCACACTGTCTCTTACGGAAAATAATGCACACAGTTCAGATTCTCATCAATTATCTATTACCAATTTTTAGTATTATTTAGATAAAACTGTTAAATTATATTACTTAATACTATTATTATATTTATATTTATTATTGTTTATTATGATATTTGTTACCTTTTGTGACTCTAAAATGGCAAATAGTAATTAATATTTCAATCAATATATCTTGGGAAACTCTGATTTTAGAAGAAAATGTCTAAAAATATTTTTTTAAGCCAACGAAATTCCCAATAAAAAATGTCTTTTAACAATTTCTCTTGTACGACTCATAACCGACATAATTCAACATTAAACATAATATCAAAAATCTTATTTTCTGACGTTTCACCCTTTCACTCCTGAACTCGTGAGTGAAATCCTCACTTTCCCTCACGAAAAATAATCCACTCACTTGACATTATCTGGAAAATCAGCAGGATTGAGAACAGCACAGTTGGTGTAGCTCAATTCGTCCGTCGGACACCTCACAGCCTTCATTTTCTGTAAAAACCGATAAAACCCCTCAAAAACGTTGAATTCCCTCTCTAAAATACCCCCTGACCTCAAAAACTATCGACAAAAATTGATTGAGTTACGTAGTGACATCAATCATGCTCTCAAGCACTCGAGAATGCCACCGCCTCCCCACAAATCATCGAATGATGTGAAACAGTCAACTTGTTAAGTCATCACAGCTGTTCCCACATGATGTGATAAAAATAATTATGACTATCCCCTTCTAATTCTAACGAATCGTGAAAACTCACCAATCCTGCCATCGTGAATTCCTGACAGAATCCCACAGAGTGCAAATGTACTTATTCGTGTGTAGAACAGACCTGCAATGCAGAATCCATTGATCTGAAGTCTGCGTCGAGTGCGCAGGTGTCCATTCGCTGATTGTTGCCAACAATGGGCGTCGACATTCAGCTGTTTCCGGCCAATCGTCGATGTTGCAATTAACTATTTTCTCGACAAGGCATTGGTGAAATTGTGGGCCAATGGTTATCGATCGTGTCAGTGGCCAGACAATTTCAGAGGAATAACAATTCTCACGGCAGGCTGTTCCATCCGAATGATCCGAACTGAACGAGAAATTAATCGATACATCTACTTTTCATGCTATGAGCTGGAAACATCACTTCGATCTGCATCTGAAGACCGATTATAACGAAATGATGCGGAGGGAATCCCTGGAACGTCTTTAGTTGGATCATGTTTACATGATTTTTTAGAGGTTAAGTCGTCTAGGTTACATTGATTACATCGAGTAGGTACCCTGTTGATTCTTTGTGTTGTTTGAGGAAAGGGTGGTCGAATAACGTTTGATGACCAGCTGATTCCTGGCTTTGCAGGTTGGAAGATAGTTGGGTGAGGAGGGGTAGGCAGGATGGACAGGGCCAAGTCAGGAATTACTCGGGGGCCCAAGAGCAAAATAGCTCATCACCCTCCGGATCTATTTGCACTTGGCTCCAAAACGTCTAGGAGTGAGACTCTGGAGTCGAAGAGGCCAGGGAGTATTTATGGGAAAGCTAGCACCTCGTCGGCTTCAAGTGCAGGTATCAAATACGTAAAATTTGGTTGATTCGTTAATTTGTGGGGGACGCATGAGGGGAAGCGGATGTTTTTTATGTGCATTTGAATGCTCATAACTCAGAATTGTAATTCTCAAGTGAGAATTCCACTGGAATTCTTGCACTGTGCTAAGAGGTTCTCAATTATTTGTCAGATTATGTTGTTATCGTAATATTGGTGTTGATCCTGCGAAATGCTTTTCTACTTTTGTAGTCGAACATCATTTGAGCCTCATTTGACTCCAAGTTTCCGGACATTTTACAATGATTTTATTATTTAAATTTTGCACGTCTAAATTTTAATCTGGATATTGAACCGTTAGAAAACATTTTAAAATTGCAGTTTCTATAAATTTGAAAATGATCCATCGTCCACAATAAAAAACATTTGTTCGAAATTGTAACAAATTTTTTCATATTCAGAATTTTATCAGAAATCGATTTCATACTTAAAAAAAGGTTTCCAAAAATTTAAACAATTGCAATTATTGATATATAAGCAATGAATGTTTGAAAAATACTAATTTGGTGCAAAATGTAATTTTACTGACGCTGAATATCCATGAATTTTTTTAACTTTTCCTCATGCAATTTAAGGATATCCAAGTATTTTGGTTATTTTTTCAATTAGAGCTTCCATTTGGGCCTCATTTGACTCTAATTTTCCGGACATTTTACAATGATTTTATTATTTAAATTTTGCACGTCTAAATTTTAATCTGGATATTGAACCGTTAGAAAACATTTTAAAATTGCAGTTTCTATAAATTTGAAAATGATCCATCGTCCACAATAAAAAACATTTGTTCGAAATTGTAACAAATTTTTTCATATTCAGAATTTTATCAGAAATCGATTTCATACTTAAAAAAAGGTTTCCAAAAATTTAAACAATTGCAATTATTGATATATAAGCAATGAATATTTGAAAAATACTAATTTGGTGCAAAATGTAATTTTACTGACGCTGAATATCCATGAATTTTTTTAACTTTTCCTCATGCAATTTAAGGATATCCAAGTATTTTGGTTATTTTTTCAATTAGAGCTTCCATTTGAGCCTCATTTGACTCTAATTTTCCGGACATTTTACAATGATTTTATTATTTAAATTTTGCACGTCTAAATTTTAATCTGGATATTGAACCGTTAGAAAACATTTTAAAATTGCAGTTTCTATAAATTTGAAAATGATCCATCGTCCACAATAAAAAACATTTGTTCGAAATTGTAACAAATTTTTTCATATTCAGAATTTTATCAGAAATCGATTTCATACTTAAAAAAAGGTTTCCAAAAATTTAAACAATTGCAATTATTGATATATAAGCAATGAATATTTAAAAAATACTAATTTGGTGCAAAATGTAATTTTACTGACGCTGAATATCCATGAATTTTTTTAACTTTTCCTCACGCAATTCAAGGATATCCAAGTATTTTGGTTATTTTTTCAATTAGAGCTTCCATTTGAGCCTCATTTGACTCAAATTTTCCGGACATTTTACAATCATTTTATTATTTAAACTTTGCACGTCTGAATTTGAATGTCGATATTGAACCGTTAAAAAACATTTTAAAAACCAAAAAAAAAATTAGTCTACTTTTAGAAAGAGATTGATGAAATAATTAAAAAGTTACAATTTTTGAAAATCACGAGGATTTTTTATAAATTATTTATAAACAATCAATTTCCCACCATAAAAATCATTTATCGAAAAGTTTAAACAATGTCAATTATTTATTTATCAACAGCAAATCTTTACAAAAATTATACTTCTGTGCAAAGTGTAATTGGAATGACTCTGAATATTCATGATTAAAAAAAAACATTTTTCACGCAATTTAATTGACAAATTTGATGATTGACAATAGTTGAATCAATGTTATGGTCTGTACCAAACTGTAAAAGATACTTTTACTTGGATATCCTCAATGATGTAAATAATAATCACCCACCTCCATTCACTTCATCGTCAATTCAACCAATCCACTAATCACCACAATATCTCCTCCCCAGGTTCAGACAGAAAGAAAGAAGCCCCAACGCCGCTGCAATCCCTGATCCCCCCAAAGAAGCCAAAACTGAGTACTCATGCTCCCCACCCTCGGCCCCCAATGTCCAGTGCCGAAGCCTGGGAGGTGGTGGCCATCGACTGTGACCCAGCAGACCTCGTCCCAATGGTCCTCGAAGCCAGCGACAACGACGAGGGTGACAAGGTCATAGGTCTCATCTGCGGAGTGATAAAAACCCTGAAGAACCAACGAGGCAAGCCAGACTCCCTCCTCTACATGGGCCTCATGTACCTCGCGAAGCTCCGTCCCTCAATCTTCTCCAACGACTGCATCCTCCACGCACTATCCTCCCTCCTGAAACGAGACCAGTCCCACAACTTCGCTAAGAACAAAGGCAACCCCCTGGTCCCAGTGCTAGCAGCGAATCTCCTGATGAGGGGTTACCACGAGAAGAAGAATTGGCCAGAAATTTTCATAAAACTGTACATCGACGACGCCCTCGGCGAGCGAGTCTGGATCGACCACGAGGAGTGCAAGGGTTTCGTGGACAACATCCTCTCTGGATTCAACACGAGGCACCCCCCCAAGAGCGCTCTGCAGCACGAATTATCAGTGCTAGCCCCTCGCGACTGCCACAGCCCCTCCACCCTGGAGGACGACGACTCCGGCACTTCCCTAATCCAACTAACTGGAGACAAAGACAAATCGGAGTTCACAGTGAGCCCCAGATACTCCCACTGCATGGAGAGTGTCGAGAACATCGTCCTGGAAGCCGTGAAAGAGCAGCTAAATCGTCGCCAGCAGCAGGCAGAGTCAATAACAAAAAACTTCCTGAAACTTCTGTCGTCAGCCTGCGGCTTCGTCGAGATACGAAACATCTCAGTCCCAAGATTGGAAATGTGGCTGCATAATCCTAAACTGATGAAACCAGCGCAAGAGCTCTTGATCTACATCTGCTACAACTCCACAACGCACACCCAGCGTGACGTCGAAGTAATCAGTCAACTGGTGAAGATGAGACTGAAGACGAAAGCTGTAATCAGCCTGTATTTGAATGGAGTGAAGGAGCTGATCGGTCTGCACCCTGAGAACCTGTCGACCATCCTGAAGCACACGATCTACAACGAGTTATCCAATGCCAGGAACCCCAACAACATGCCCATGCTGGGTGTCATGTTCCAGGCAGCTCCAGAGGCCTCAGCAAAGCTCTTAGCCGAGATCTTCCAGGACTTGCTGATGAACAGAGAAGACTTCTTGCGGCCACTACGAGCCCTATTCAGAGAAATCGTTCGTGTCTGTCGTCACGACATCAACCTGATCACCCTCGCACGAACCCTGATGGCTGAGCGAGCCCAGCTGTCCCAGCAACTCCTGACCTTTGAGTTCAAGGAGAGAATGTTCGTGTCGATAATCGATCTCCTGTGCCTCTGCATGTTCCTGGGGATCAGTCCCCAAGTAAAAGAAGCCTCACTTCTGTCTCAGCGTGGGGACAAGAAGGACGCAGCCTTACTCCATCAGTTCCAGACGCTCGTCTCCACGATTCAGTATGAGACAACTTCCTGGCTGCAGACGTTAGCACAGCAGACTTACGGAGTTGGCAGGACTGAGATCCTCCACGCGATCCAAAAGATCATGCTTCTGGAGTCGTTGGATCAATACTACAAGCTCGACAACTGGCCCCCAGAGACGGAGAGAGTTCTGTTCATGAGGATCGTGTCCGACGTGCCCCTTCTTCAGAACACACTACTGAGGATTATTCTCATGGGGTTCACGAAGGAGAATGGCCTGACCCACTCGGAGGTCCTTGACATTGCTGATCAGTTGATAAAGCGAGCAGCTGCCAACTCCACGGAGACCTTCCCAACCCTGGAGATCGAAAAAATGGACATAATCGAACTGATCTTCAATCTCTGCATCTACCAGCCCCCAGGCTCCATAAACATTCCCTCTGGCTACGTCCCCCCAAACCTAGCGATCTCAAACTTGTACTGGAAGGGCTGGATAATGCTGCTGATCCTGGCTGCACATAACCCCTCGACAATCGGTGCAGTTGGATGGAAACGTTATCCCATCTGGCGAACACTGATGGAGATGTGTATAACGAATCACTTTCAGTATCCCCCACCGACGATGGCCCTGCCAGAGGTGATAGAGCAGGAACGAGCGAAGGAGCTGCAGATTGAGACCCTCGAGAAGCAGGAGATCCTGGAGTACGAGTCCCACCTGGCAGCTGCCTCCACCAGAGTCCAGATATCAGAATCAAACAGTCTTCTGTTATCTCAATTGATCACTATGGATCCCACTGGGATCGCCAGACGACCGCCCCCAGCTGTTCTGGAGCAATTGCAGTCTGTGAACATCTCCCTGAGACTGGGCCACCTGCTCTGTCGATCGAGAAAGCCAGACTTCCTGCTGGACATCATACAACGCCAGCAGCAGAGCTCCTCCCAGAGCATGCCGTGGCTGGCTGACCTGGTGCAAAACAGTGAGGGCTCACTGAGTCAACTGCCTGTCCAATGTCTCTGCGAATTCCTCCTCTCGACGACAGCCCAAGCTGTCGACAAGCAGCCACGACAGCAGCAGCTCCTCGCACACCTCCAGAAACTTCTGACTGACCCCAACGAGGATCAGCAGCACGCCTGTGAGGTACTGGAGTACTTCTTGAGGAGATTGAGCAGTCAGCAGAGCAACAATCGTCTCCAGGCGATCACAGGACTCAAACTCGTCCTGGAATCCATTCCCCTGGAGGACGAGAGCATGGAGGTGGACGGGGACCTTGAGAAAGAGCTCTGGCTCCTGCGAAAGCTCCCATCAATCCCCCACTTTCCAGCAGTGAAACCACTGGTATCAACGGCACTGAGAGGTGCCTGTCAGGTCGAGAATAATCCAGAGCTGGTTCGTGCATACGTGGCGTATCTTGCTGAGCACACACAGGACGACGATCTCCCTGAATTAACTGATCTAGCCAATGAGATATCCCAAGTGGTGGTTGAGAGGAGCACAATCACAGCGGCCATCCTCCCAGAGCCCGACAACGAGTCTCCCCAGTCCAGGCAGACCCTCCAAGCCTTCAAATCCATCTTCTGTAATTATCTGGAGAAGGCGAGGTCGCCTCGTGGGGAGGGCTACACCTGGTCTCAGAGTCAGGATCAGATTCTCGTCCAATGGAACACTGGGGAGGAGTGCACAATGCACATCCTCGTGGTTCACGCCATGATAATCCTCCTGACGTACGACGTGCTCGACGAGTCAGGACTATCAAACGATTTACTGGAGATTTGGTTTCCAGAGAGTGGAGAGCCACCAAAGGCCTTCCTGGTGGACACCAGTGAGGAGGCTCTGCTAATACCTGACTGGCTGAAGCTCAGGATGATCAGGAGTAATGTCCCCAGACTGGTTGACGCAGCGTTGAAAGACCTCGAGCCCCAACAGCTGGTGCTGTTCATCCAGAGCTTTGGGATTCCTGTCACTTCGATGAGCAAACTACTTCACACGCTGGACGTGGCTGTCCAGCTGGATCGTGACTCTGTGAAGGAAGCAGTTCTCGATAAAACGTACATGGCGCAGTTGGTGAAGGTCCAGCATCGGAGGGGTGCCACTGGGGGCCTAGTGTTCGTTCAAGTCCTCCAGCTGCTGGAGCCTCAATTGCCGGACGAGCCAGGCCTCAAGACCGAGAATCTGCAGGAGCCACTGCCCCAGAGTGCAATGGTGAAGAAACAATCAGTCATTCAGTGTCCAATCAAAACCGACGTGCCTCACCTCATCAATAAACTCTTCATCGAGAACATGCCGATGAGCCAGAAGACTGAAGCCTATCGAAGACTCCACAAGACCCTCGCCAAGGACCTTCAGAAGTCTCCTAAAGAGAGTGGGGCCGTCGTTCTTGCTATCCAACACATCTGCAGTGTCCTCAGTTCAATGCAGGTGAAGCAGTTCCTGGCGTCGCTGGTCCACATGCCTCAGTACTCGTGCACGCTCATGAGGATGATCCTCCTGCCTCTGAAGAAACCATCAACATCGCAGCATGTCGTCGACCTGGGCCGCAACATGTGCCTGAACCTAGTTTCCCTCATCGGCGACATCAAGGCCCCGATTCTCCACATTCTGCGGGACTTTGCGAATGTTCATATGAAGAAAGTCCCGAAGAAGAAGGAGTTGATTGTCTACACGAAGAATCGAGACCCTGGGAGTGTCCTGGAGAGCACAGACCCACTGAATTTGGAGAGTGTGGGGAGGATTCTCCTGGACATTTGCCTGAAAGAGCAGAAGAATGATCTCCTGGTGGAGGCAATGGCCAGACTCCTGGTGAATGACAGTAACGAAGGTCTCGTGAGGCCCAGGACAGGCCTCCTGATTGACTGGCTGGCCTCTGTGGAGCCCGAGCTCATCGGCATCTGTCCAACCTTGCAGATGAAGCTACTCTTTGGGAAGACCAGGGTTCACCTGAAGATCGACGAGACTGTCGTCAACTCTCACGCCTGCAGACCTTATCTGTTGACTCTGCTGACCCACAGGGCTTCCTGGGCGACTCTGCAGAAGTGCGTGGGGCATTTACTGGACAAGTGCGACGACGGCTACGACCCCACGGCTGTTCTCGACTTCCTCTGGGCGCTGACCTGCAATCCAAAGCTGTGGCAGGGTCGTGACAAGTTCACCCCGAAGCACTACGTCCCCGAGAACATTCTCCTCCTGAATGAGAAGCAACTGCTGACCCTGGTGGCGTACCTCGTCGCCGAGGCAGTGATTATCCACGACAGACAGAGCAGGAACGTAGCTCTGACTCAGATGGAGACTAGGCTCGATCTACTCCAGCATTGTGTGTCGACAGAGGAGAAATTCACGTCGGACGTTGTGAATTACCTAGCAGACAGAATGATGTACGACAGCAATGCCGTCGAGTCTGACATGGCCCACCAGTTCCTCCTGCACATGTACATGAAGATACCGAAGGTCATCACGTGCTTGAACCCATCTCAAAAGAAGAAGTTCGTGGCTGGGGCTAATATCAAAGACTGGACTGGCTCAGTGCTGGATGCCATGAGCCATTCTCTGCTGACAGCGCTCGCTGCCACCCCGAGGCAGAAGTCGTGGGCAGCAAAGTCCCAAGAGTTCGAACTCTGTGCGAGGAAAATGGCAGCTGTCCACCCCATTCTGGTCCTTCGACAGCTGCCAATGCTTGCCTCGTCGTTGATGGGCAGGTGCTACCTGGAGTACAACGAGTTTCGGTCTGGTCATCATCTGAATTTGTTTATTCAGGTGATGGGACTGCTGGAGCTGCTCCAGCCTTATCTGTTTAATGAGCAGCACAGGGACGCCTTGGAAGACACTCTTCAGAACTACTTCCAATGCTTCCAGAATTATGGGCCTTACAAGGATCATCATTTGTTGACGCCACTTTTGAATAGACTGGTGGGTCTGCTGCAGGGGTACATCTCCCATGGGGCCCAGAGGGCTCTCAAGTACCTGCACAAGCACATTCCCACGTTGAGGGAGCTGCAGGGGTACTTCCCAGGGCTGACGAGCTTGAGATCACTGATAACTTCGATACCAGGCCCTCGGGAGGGGACCAATGGCGAGGAGATTTTCATCACTGGACCTCCAACCACTAGGGTCGAGCCCAATTATCCTGAGCATTACCCAGGGCTCATCACCACACTGGCCAAGATCCAAGGGGAGGACGTGTTCTCGGCACTTCAGGAGATCGAGCACACGTCGTCGAAGAAACCGTCGATTCTGGAGTTCTTTACTGATAGTATAACGGAACTTCTGGTGTCGCCACAGGGGAACATCAGGACTCTGGCTCATACGCTGATCACGAGGGCCTTGAAACATCGACCTGCACCGAATCTCAATGTTCTCTCGGCTTTTCAGAGGTGTCTTGACAGCCCCAGGTCTGATGTTCTCATGTCAGCTCTTGACAGGCTACCGGACATCGTTCTCTGCATGCAGGAACATGCGTTGCCGCTCATGCAGAAAGTGTTCGAATTGGGGGTCAACTCGAATGTCAATACTATTCCACATATTAATAAGAGCATTGCATTGTTGAACACGCAGCAAGGCTGCTGAATGAGTCTGGTGATTGTAGGAAAATTCGGAGGGAGAGAGTTAAAGATGACGGGGGTTTATATATATCTGTGTTGAAAATTAATTTTTATTCAATATATATATGTACAGACTATGGGTTTCTCTGATGGAAACTTAAATTATGAATACAATTTTTTTTATTTAAAAATATGAATTTCATTTTATTCAAACTCAATTTCGTAGCCCCTTCCTAAATTAATTAGATATTATTGGGTTTTTTAATTAAAATGATAAATTGCATTTTATTCAAAAACAATTTCGTAGCCTCTTCCTAAATTAATTAGAGATTGTTGCAGTGGAGAAAATCACGTCATTGAAGAAATTGTCGATTTTGGAGTTCTACATTGATAGTATAATGGAACTGTTGAGATCTCCACAGGGGAACACTAGGGTTTCTCTGGTGGAAACCTAGATTATAAATACCATTTTTTAAATTTAAAATTACAATTAAAAAGTCCTTTGGATAAGTACAAAATCTCTGAACTTTTTTTTATCAATGTAAAATATTTTTTTGTGGTCAAGTTTCAAAGTTATGATGGTTGGTCCACATGATTGATCCACTCACTTTTTAAAGTTCGATTTTTTAAGTTAAAAAATGGAACTTAAAAAATTGAACGAAAGGGATTTTTCAAGTTAAAAACTGGATTTTTTGCGTTTTTTGAATATTATTTCGGTGGGTAAATTGACATTTTTTTAATTGGTTACACTGATGGAAAAGTTCTCATGAATGTAATTTCTCAATTGGAGAACTTTTAGAAATCATTAGAATCTCCCTTTAATTCTACTAATCCACAGAGTTCCTTGTGGGCAACTCTGCAAAAGCGTAATTCAATTAATCGATCAGTAACTACCCAGAAGCTTGGAATGATGGGAGAAAATTATAGCTTGAATTTTTCTGTATCACTGGTAGAAAATTGAGTTTTATTCAATACATATATGTACAGGTAATTCAGGATTTCCAAAAGGGAAACCTGAAGGAATTATAAATACGCTTCTTAGGCAAGAGTGGGGCGAAATAAACACTTCGTTTTTTCACGTTAATAATCCATCCAGGTTTTGATAAGATGAGATAATTATTGCATCAAAATATACAATTTTCAGTTATAATTAAACTAGACAGTGAATGGGCTTATCACCTAGTTGAGTTTTCGAGAAATAATCGTACCTAAAATAGTAGTTAAATATCAAGTCTTTTGTAGAGCAAAAGTAGAGCTACAAACATCATGATTATGAAAATCTCGTTATTCCTCTTATAATCAGAGATATTACTCGAAAATTCAGCTATGTCTTTTTACAACTACTACAAAAACGTCAAAAGTTCATTTACTCGAACTTGCCCCTATTTGAAATTACAATCACAACGTTGAATTACAATTACAATTTTCGTCTCATTTAATATCAGTTAATTGGTTATTATCTCATTGGTCGCGTTTCATGGCTCAAAAATAAGCAATCCATTAGAATATATTGACTACACCCAGGAATATTATACAGTTGAATTAAATTGACAAAAAATTATGTCAAAATAATAAACAGTAATGAATATTTCACCAAGCTCTGGTTTTGATGAAATATTCCACGTCAAATCAATCTTAAATATTGTACAAAGTATCACCCTTTCATGTGATTGGAATTTATTTCCTTCAAACAGTCAATCGATTTGAAAACCTCAGGGAATATATCACTGACAGTGGAAGCGTTCTTGAAGGCAATAATAGCAGCGCGCAGACTTCAATTATTCTTCTCCACAAAACTGCTCTTAACACTGCATCTTCATGCAATGAAACTGCACAAAAATTCAAGATCATCCTTACGACGAGAAAGAAACCACTAAATAAAAACAGAAATTATTCTAAATAGCATTTTTTAGATCAAATCAATTAAGGATTATTTCATTTGTCGCATTGACTATAATCACAAATATCCCAATCATAAATATTCTATGATCGACTGAATCAAATTAATAAAAAATCATTTCATTCGTCACGTTCGATGCTTTCAAAATAACAAATAGTTATGAATATTTCAATGGTAGATTGAAATCATATTTCAACAAACTGTGGTTTTAACGAAATATTCTTTATCAAATCGATCTTAAACATTGCGCAAAGTTTCACCACTTCATGTCATTAAATTAAATCCCATTCAATATCCGTAACCCTGTTTGAAGGCCTCAGGAGGTAGGTACATCATTAACAGTGTATTCTTCTCCAAAAACTACTCTTAAGTTTGTTCCTTCATGTAGTGAACCTGCACAAAAATTCAAGATCATCCTTATGACGAAAATAAAAACACGAAATAAAAACAGAAATTATACCAAATTGCATTTTTGTAAGATAAAATTAAGAACCAATTGATAAAGATTTCAGTAGCGAAGTGGTAAAATGGTTCAATTCGACTTAGCTCGCATCTGAGTTTTCGAGGAATATCTCCGAATCTAAGGCAGATAACTAAATTTTTGTAATGACCTTTTTTGTAGAGAGAATTGAGTGCTATAGAAAAGGTCGTGTCAAAACTTTCGCTATGTCCCTTCGATTCTGAGATATTCATTGAAAACTGGCAAATTGTCAAAATAGACTTAAACCGTTTTACCACTTCGCTACTGATTTCATTTGTCACATCCGACGATTTCAAAATAACGACTAAGTGATAAATATTCTATGATCGACTGAATCAAATTAATTCATTCATCATGTTGGATGCTTTCAACATACCAAATGGTTATGAATATTTCAATGATAAATTGAAATCATATTTCACCAAACTCTGGTTTTAACGACATATTCTACATCAAATCGATCTTAAACATTGTGCAAAGCTTCACCACTTCATGTCATTAAATTAAATCCCATTCAATATCCGTAACCCTGTCGAAGGCCTCAGGAGGTACATCATTGACACTGTAAGCTTCCTTGAAAGAAATAATAGAAGCTCGCAGACTCCAATTATTCTTCTCCAAAAACTACTTTATTACTTAACTACTACTTCTATGCCGTCATGTAGTGAAACTGCACAAAAATTCAAGATCATCTTACCAACCATATCTGACGAAATAAAAACACAAATTATTTTAAACGGCATTTTTTAAGATGAAATCAATTAATGATCATTTCATTTGTCACATTCTACGATTTCAAAATAACGCCTCAACGATAAATTTCAAAAAAAATGATGAAAAATTAATAAAAAATTGTCATTCATCACGTTGGATGCTTTCGAAATAAAAAATAGTTACATTTCACTAGGCCGTGGTTTTAACGGAATATTCTTCATCAAATCGATCTTAAACATTGCGCAAAGTTTCACCACCTCATGTGATTAAATTAAATCCCATTCAATATCCGTAACCCTGTTTGAAGGCCTCAGGAGGTACATCATTGACAGTGTAAGCCTTCTTGAACGCAACAATAGCAGCTCGCAGATCCCAATTATTCTTCTCCAAAAACTGCTCTGAAAACTGTGCATTCATCGTAGTGACATTGCACAAGAATTTAAGAAGATCGTCCTTCTCATTAGCACTGAGATACGTGGGCTCGAACGACGGTACACTATTCAAGTTCAATTTCGAGTCGTTGTTCTCCACCACCGTCGAGTTTCCGCTCTGAATGTGATACTGATCATTCACAATCCTGTACTCATTATCATCCTTCTCAATAATGATAAAAGTCCTGGAGAACATGAGAGAAATGGGAAACTCTCGATAGAAGAATGCCCCATGGATCGATACAGCCAGATGGTGATCCCCCTGATGCATCAGATCAATAGAAAAGGACTTGTAATCATGATAAGTGGGTGGTAAACGCCTCAAAGTATTGATAATCTGGTCAGGCCCTTGGAGCAGGTACTTGTACCCCCTGGAGTAGTCCACGAGCTTCAGAAAATTCCTGTTGATCGCCATGATCTTCGTCAGCTGTCGATGCCGAGGGTTCGCGATGTGTCCAACAGTAGTAGAAAAATAAGCATTAGCATCGTACAAACCGTTGAGAACACTTCGATCCTTCTGATCGAACAGAGTGAAATAATGCCTGACGAATTGCTTCACCAGACTCAATCGCGAATTATCGAGGAGGAAGCAGGGCTGGGTCACCGGTATTGCCTGCTTCTGCTCAATATCAATTATGACTCCATCCAGCTTCTGAACGTGTGGAAATACCTTGCGAACGGCTTGAATGTACTCCTCCGGGGACTTGTAGATGGTGCACAGGGGATTCCCATCGAGCCACAGTTCAGTGATCTTGAATTCTGAGAAGTATCTGAGGAACTCTACGTTCTCAATTTTATTGTAGCTCAGATCGAGTTTTGTTAAAGTGTAGTTGAGGGCCTTTTCGTACAGCATCACCCCTGACAGCTTGTTGTTCTTGAGGTTGAGCTCGCGAACTGGGAGTCGAGTGTTCTCGAATTTCTCCCGAGAGTTTCCAATTCTCATTCTCGCGCACCTCAGCACGAAGACGAAGACTGTCGGCAGGGACAGGGGACAGTACATGGACCCCAGGCCCTTGTCGGTCTTGAAGTTGTCCAGGTTGAGGACCTTCTTCAGGGAGTCCCACCTGCTCACCAGGACCTCGGTGATCATCTTGTGGGGGTTTATCTGCAGCTCGTTCATGCTTATGAACCCCAGGACAATGTCCATCTTCAGTATTCTATTGTCGGGGAGGCAGATTTGGAGGCCCTGGCGGACCAGGGACTCTATCACTGCTATGCTGCATTTCGAGAGGAATGTGCCGTTGCGAATGTCCTCGATTTTGTACATCACTGGGAGGAGAACCTCCGGGCGACACGCGGAGATCATGGCGTCCATCACTGCTTCGTTTTCGTAATTACCCGCGTCGAAGATGATGAACTTGTGCCAGAGGTCCTGGCGAGCTGCCAGGGCGAGCTCCTGGCTGTTGAAGGAGGGCTTCAGGTGGGTCAGCCTGAGCGGCTCCCAAGTGGAGTTGACATCCTGCGAGGCTGCTGCGGCTGCTGCGGCCGCGGCGACTGCTGCTGATGCTCTTTTCGTCATGTTTTATTGTGGGGTGTACCTGCAATCACCTGCAATTGATGGGGCTCGTTGTCCTGCGATTTGGAGAGTGTCACTGGAGTTTCGGTGAACGGAAACACTAGTGCGAGGGGAGTGGGACTGCAGGGTGACGCGTGGTGGAGAGAATTTTGGGCAGGGGTCTTTGTGATCAGCTGGGAGGGTAAGGAAGGGGATTGGTATGCCTGGCTCAATGGTCGATTCAGGTGCCGACGGGTTCAGTATGTCGATAACCATTCGATTCTTGGTCGATAACCGACCGGTCGAATAAATATACCAATGGTTATCGACGAAGAATCGAATGGTTATCGACAATCGGTCGGATATCGAATAATAATCGAATATACCAATGGTTATCGACCAATAATCGAATATACCAATGGTTATCGACCAATAATCGAATATACCAATGGTTATCGACCAAGAATCGAATGGTTATCGACAACCGGTTGGTTATCTAATAATAATCGAATATACCAATGGTTATCGACCAATAATCGAATAAATATACCAATGATTATCGACCAAGAATCGAACGGTTATCGACAATCGGTCGGTTATCGAATAATAATCGAATATACCAATGGTTATCGACCAAGGATCGAATGGTTATCGACAACCGGTCGGTTATCGAATAATAATCGAATATACCAATGGTTATCGACCAATAATCGAATAAATATACCAATGGTTATCGACCAAGGATCGAATGGTTATCGACAATCGGTCGGTTATCGAATAATAATCGAATTTACCAATGGTTATCGACCAATAATTGAATATACCAATAGTTATCGACCAAGAATCGAACGGTTATCGACAACCGGGCGGTTACCGAATAATAATCGAATTTACCAATGGTTCTTCGACCAATAATCGAATCTACTAATGGTTATCGACCAAAAATATTGAGAAAAAAAATTAACGCATCTATATTTCAACATTCATTTTCACATCAGGATTTCTGAAAACATACATTAGGATCCATTCAGAAGCCTACTACCAATGAAATTGGTAGAAATGAAAACAGAAGATAAAAAAATACTTGGAGAGCAGCAGTCATATGCAATCTGTCAAATGGCTTCTGTCGCGCTGCTTATTTTTGCAATCGATGCATCTCCATCAAATTGAGAACTAATTAGATTGCCTGAACTGATTAGATTGCACAATCGCCTCATCGGTGTTTTAGTTATTTGCAAAAAAATCCGTGAAAAAGTGTCAAAAATTGACGTTTCTTCACAAATGGGATGATTTCTTCGTACCAAATGACGTGATTTGAATTTTTTAAATTGCCATTGATAAGTACACATGAGGAAATTTTTGAAAACAGTGACTCAGCAGTTGTTCACTTTTTTAATGAATCAACAAAACATTGAAATGAGGGTTTTTCATCAGTAAGACCATTACTTTTTGCGAAATAATGTGATTTAATTTTTTTTATTCATTGCAAATTTTTGGAAGACATTGACCCAGAAGTTTGTCAGTTATTTAATTATAAATATTCTGGTTTTTCGGAATGAATAAGAAAAACAGGAATTGGTCGGGCAGTTATTGGTTCAGACCATAATGGGCACCCCCTTCTGATTTCATGAAATAATTTTAACCCCTTGCGACCACTCGTGTGATCGCACAATGCTCAATTCTTTTTTTAAACATTAAAATGTGATCACGGTTCGTCAAGTGAACAATTTTCAATCAATTTTAGGCATTGCGACTCCTCTAAATATGATTCAATGGGCTGGCTACGCACCGTAGTCCATACGCTGGAGTTAATCTTGTATCAAGCTGTATCGGAGTCGCCGAATCTCTTGGAATTTATGTTTTCTGGGTTGCTGATTCCGAATTTGTCGGTTATTTAAAAAAACCTGCGTTCTTTATCATTAATACTTCAATTGTTTAAATCCCCCTAGCACCTAAACTACGAGAGGTAAACAAAAATTTTCAAATGATGAATTGTGTAGAAATCGATAAGATATAATCACTGTTAATAATTTACTGAAATTTCAGTCACAATGGGAAAGTCACAATGGAAAGTCACAAAACGTTCGCTAAATTTCTCATCCATCTTGAAAATTCAAGAAATTTGGGTTTTTCATGTTAAATAATCATTGATTTTTCAATGAAAGCTTGAATTTTCAAACTCATCGTGAAAATTTAACATCAGCCACAATTAAATTTTCAATGGATTGAAAATTCAGAGAAGTTATTGTCTGAATTTTCAATATTATCTGGGTTTTTCAGTGCCGTATGGACCTGAAAATCGAGAATTACTTGAATATTCAAGAAATTAACTGATTTCTCAATATAGAATGCTACAGAAAGTTCATGTAACTTTATCGTTGTTAAAACTTTCAAGTTTTTTCATTTGAAATTTCAAGTGTAATTTTCTAACAGTGATTTTCGTCTCTTGTAGGTTCCGAAATATGAGCAATAAACTAGTTGCACCGGACACAGTGCTCTTACTGTGTCCCACAATCCTTTCATTGCTCATATCTCAAAATCTTGAACAGATATGCGAAACTGACGAAAGACAAACATTATTCATCATCAAATTCAAAATTAAATATCATTGGATAATTTTTGTCTATTTCCCATAGTTTGGGTGTTAGAGCGATTTAAGCAATTGAATTGTTAATTACGAATAGAACGTCGTTTTTTTATATTATTCAGCACAAAACCGGTTGGTTTATACAGCTACCAAAATTGATAATTAAGAATTATGAATATAAACATATGTTTATGTTCATAATTCTTTAACAAAAAAATAAATAAAATAGTACATTATGTGAGTTCTATTTCGGTGGAATCTTTTAATACATCGATTTTACATTTACTCAGAAAGTCCCCACTAGTTTCAAAATAGAGATATTTATCCTAATCGAGGCCAAAAAGAACTACAATAAGTTTTCAGCCCTTCTAAAAAATATATTTTTCGTCTTAAGGCCCGGGTGTACTATCTTTCGAACATTATCTCGATGGTTTTTTTTCATCTTTCGTCATCTGAAATTGTCAATTAAGTCCTGCATCATGCAGAAGTTTTGAAAAATTATGAATGAATAATCGAAAGAAAAGTAGAAATAGTATATTTCGTTACGAGTGCGGAAAAGAGCACTCGCACTCGCCTTCGGCTCGTGCTATAAATCTCCCACGAGCCAAAACACACTTTTCCCACGAGTATCGAACAATATTTTTCATCACGCTGTGACGAAAAGTGAACTTTTCGGCACGCTCCGCGTGCCTAAAAGTCCAATTTCCGCCATATTGTGATGAAAAATATTGTTCGTAACTCGTGAAAAAATGTTTTTTAGCTCGTGGGATTATATCACTCGACTTCGGCTCGTGATATAAACCTCCCACTCGCCAAAAAACACTTTTTTGCACTCGTTACGAAATATACTATTTCATCACGCTGTGCGAAAAAGTAACTTCCCTTTTCCACACATTGTGATGAAAAATATTGTTCGATACTCGTGGGAAAAGTGTTTCTCGCCTTCGGCTCGTGCTATAAACCTCCCACGAGCCAAAAAACACTTTTCCGCACTCGTAACAAAATATACTATTTCATCAAAATGTGTGGAAAAGAGACGTTTTAGGCACGCAAAGCGTGCCTAAAAAGTTGTTTTTTCGCACAGCGTAGAGCAGAGCATTTTCAATTTATATTCAGAATAAGTTGAATAACAAGGCATTGAAAAATGTATCTGATTTACGGTGACAAATGGCGGCCTGTCACCTAATATCATGCAGGGGGAAGACTGATTTTGTAAATCTTTTCCCACACTGCACAGAGACATTTATTACGGAACAGGCTCTTTGAAAAAAGTTGAAATATTTTGGAGAATTTTTTAATCACACTTTTGTCACATAAAAATGGCAGATGACTACATACCACTGTTTTGAAAATTGAGATACCTAGCTGTCACTTCCCATGAGGAGTTAGCGTTTTGTTATCCACCATGGAAAATGACAGCTAATAGATAATTTGCCACAGCAAATCAGATATTTGTAATTTCCACTTTTTACAACTCATTCTGAATCTAAAAACCCTCTATGAAAAAGTTCAGAATTTTTTCTATTTTTTTTATCATTCTATCATGATTTTTGGGAATTTCTACATGATGTACCACTCAATTGACAATTTTGGATCACGAAAGATAAAAAAAATCTAGATAACATTCGAAAGATAGTACACGCGGGCCTTTAACCAATTGATCATTTCGGTACGGAAATGTATGTTGTCAATGGACTTGATACATAAATATCGCGTGGGAATATTTTCGAATTGATAAGTATTCTTTCGAAAGCCAAATGTTTGTGCGGGGAGTTATTATTTACCAAAGGGACAGGCAGACTCACGGAAGTGAATTTCGGTATCACGCACTGAAGATAATGATCGGATTGAAATCATTTAAAATCATGATGTTGATATGTGCCGACACGATCGAACATGTCTTATCGTTTGAACCGTCGAGAAGAGCGACTATATGAACTCGGGTCGAATGATGGAGACATCAGAGGTTCCAGTGGATCCAACATGAGAATTCCAACAAGTTCACTTTTGCCTATAGTTGTTCTGACAACTGGGTCTTTGATTAGTCTAGCATGTGCTAGTCCTTTCGTAGTGACGAGGGAGTTGGCTGGAGCAGAACGTCACAGACGTGCTATTGAAAATGGACCGGAATCACCAATTGCAGTGCAAGAACGAATCTCCGCACCAGTCGTTCATGGCGATGTTGCTCAGGTGCGTAGAAATTCTGAATACGTAAAGTTATTCTTACTGGAGGAGAAACCTCAGTTCTATACTCACAATTCCCTCTTTGGCAAGACTGAATACGCAGGGTGAACACGTATGAAAAATCCGTATAGAATTTTTCCATACGGATTGCGTATAGAATTTCTATAGGATTTCCGTATGATATTCGGATATTTCTCTACAGATATTTTTTACACAAAGTATTTCTATACGATTTCTATAGGTTTGATCCTATACGACCCACTGCCACATGTATAGAAACATTTCGTATGGAGTTGCAACATTTCTCTCCGTTTTTCTCTGAAGCGTTTAGACATCTTTCGTATGAAAACAAAAATTTATGTCAAAATTTAGGTATAGAAATAATTTGTATAGATTATTTTTCTCGCTCGGATTTCAGCCAATCAGAGCGCAGTATTTGAGGNTTCTCTCCGTTTTTCTCTGAAGCGTTTAGACATCTTTCGTATGAAAACAAAAATTTATGTCAAAATTTAGGTATAGAAATAATTTGTATAGATTATTTTTCTCGCTCGGATTTCAGCCAATCAGAGCGCAGTATTTGAGGCTGTCAAAGAATTTTATTTCGGAAATTTCTATGAAATTTCCGACGGAAATTCACTAGTAGCTTTTCAAATATTTCTCATCTTTCAACGCATTTCACGTTTAATATTCTGTGTAACAGATAAACAAAAAAGTTGGTTGTAAATGTATGGCTGTGTAAATGTATCCGGATGCTGTTCACTGCACTCTGCTTGACCGAAATTCGAGTGGAAAAATAATCCGTCAAATACCACTCGTGCTTCAAAATTAATTGGATATTTTCCTCAAGCTTCCCTGCCTAGGAACGAGTGTCTCAAATTTTGCAGAAAAATCCATCGTGCTTCGCACTCGCGATTTTAAACCTGCAAAATTTGACACAATCGTTCTTAGGCAACGAAGCTATCGGAAAATATCCGATAATCTTGAAGCACTAGTGGTATTACTACTGAAATTTTTTTTTATCGTTATTTTACATCGCTTCGAGCCGGTTAGGGTATACTGCGATGATGATCAAGACTTTAAATGGTTAAATCGCACCATTCTACCCGAAATATCATATACGGAAATCCTATAGAATTCCTATACGCAATCCGTATAGAAAATTTCTATACGATTTTTCCATACGTGAAGACGCGACCTTGCGTGCAAATTTCAGGAGGATAGAGAATAGAAAATCGGGAATTGAACGGTAAAAAAATTATTAAATACCTATACTAGACTTTCAAATGGTGAACGTTAGAATTTTTCAATACTTCAGCCAATCCCCTTGTGATGAGACTTGATCACACACGAAAAAATGTAATAGAAAACCCTAGCGAATTCGTCATCAGGAAATTCTATTAAATTTTTATTGAACTTTCTATTAGTTTTCGGCTGGAATTCCGGGGAAAAAAATTCCCGCAATAAAATTCCCGGGGTTTAATTAAATTCCGGGGCGGAGTTTAATTTTCTACATTAAAGAAGAGAATTTATATAGCGTTCCACATTTTTGTGACGTCATAGGAAATGAGGGGATGGAATTTGGATGAGGTTGGCGGGGAACTGGGATTGTTGTCAATATGAATAACCAGAAAATTTTTACTGAAAAAAATATAGTGCAGATCGGGGTTCTATTCTATTGGCATGTTCAATAGAAAATATTCAATAGAAAAAGTCAATAAAATTCGATTTTTCTATATAACTCATTCTCTTCAAATATTTTCTATAAAATTCCCTCGGCCCAAATTTTCCAAGTTTTTTTCATTGCATTTATCTTTTCATCACTTCAAGAAAATCAAACAAATAAAAAACTTGGAAAATTTGAGCCGAGAAAATTCTATAGAAAATATCTCAATAAAATAAGTTGTCTAGAAAAATCGAATTCTTTTGACTTTTTCTACGGAATATTTTCGAGTCAGCATTTCCGTAGAATAGGCCAAAAACGGATAGAACACACGGAAAGAAATGTTCAGTAAAAATTACGGAACTCTCACTTCACTCACCGATTACGGAATCGACTCAGAAAATTTAAGTGACGGCATCGTAATTTTTTACAAGAGATTCAGATAAAAATTACGGAACGCTCCGAAAAAATTCCGTGACAGTTAAATTTCCTACAACCACATTTTGCTCCGGAATTACGGAAAAGATACGTAATTTTTATTGAATATTTCTCTCCGTGCATTCAATAGAAATCCAATAGAAATGTCTAGCAAATTCACTACCTTTTTCTATTAAATTTTTTCATCCGTGACATGATACTCAACATCGCTCTTGAAGTTGGTAAATCTATCGGTTTGATTGCTGCAATGAACGTTTCCCAAACTATCGCGCATAATGTTGCTCCAACTATCGCGCACAATCTCATTAGAATCATCGCAGCTAATACCCCTGATTGTCACAACGTTGTCACAATGTTGCGGCAAAATCATTGAAAAATTCTACCGCTCACTATTCAAAAATTGATCATCGTAGCTTCATAATTCCTGTGCCATCAAATTACTGACTTTCCAGTCCACATCCCCTTGCCATTTGCAAACAAAATGCTGACGTCGCCCTGTATTAGTTCAACGGAACTGCGAGAATTTCGAGATATTTTGAACTGATAGAGTCTGTCCTTCCAGATATCCGCAGACGAAACGAATACAATGAGTGACACCTCCCTCACACCGATAGCACAAAGCAGACTATCCCAAATATTACGTCGAATGAGACGCTCATCAAGACCTCAGCATTCATCAGCTGACCAAAAAAAATTGTGTAAATGTGTAGACCTGAGCGACGTCCTAAAAGGCACAAGCCCTCTCTCAAGAATCTTCGTCGATATCTATAATTTCGTGAACTGCGCTCGAGGATCTCTGACGGACTTGACCGAGATCGATTGGTCAGCCCAAGGAGACGAACCGTCAGACGATAATGCACCAGGGGCAAATCAGAATTTAGCGAAGAAACTCAGCAATATACTCAATCCTATTATTGGATTGTTCCAGTTGGCCTTATCAGTGGGGCCAGCTGAAGGCGATGACAGTGATATGCAGTCATTGCCAGCACCTTCGTCTGAGATTGATATCTCTGTCGACAACGTCCGTGGTGGCATCTCGCCGCTGATTGACATGGTCGAGCAGATGATGAGCGATGATGCATCTGCCGCAATAATTGCGGGGCTCGAGGATCAGATTGGAAAATTTTCCGCTGAAGACATCGAAAAGATCGCATCAAGAGCCAGTGACGACAGGTGTAAACGTCTTATACGGAGGAAACTTGAGATTATTCGTTCGTTCCCTGCTCTCCTCCGAAAAATTCTCGACGGTGTTGCTGCGCTCACGAATGTTTTGAAGGACATACAGTCGTCGGTTGACAATCCTGACAGTTTGTGCGAGAAACTCAAGGGGCATCCCATAATTTCCGTAATCAAACACATCGGCGACTTATGGGATCCTGACTCTTCTAAAAAGTCACACTCCTCGCTTACTATTGGAGAATTCAAATAAAGCTATCGTACTGAATTCCAAGGGCGGAGAGAAAGGGAACGCAGAGGGACCTAATGTTGAGGTAATAATCGATTGCGATAAGAAGAGCTGTGAGAGCGATTCACCGTCACCGACATCTGAGGCAATTTTCAATGAAAAATATTCAACAGAAAAAGTCAATGGAATTCGATTTTTCTACATAACTTATTCTCTTCAGATATTTTCTATAGAATTTCCTCAACTCAAATTTTTCAAGTTTTTTGCATTCAATTTTTTTCTTCTCACCCATAAATTCAGTAGCGAAGTCAAACGGTTTAAGTCGATTTTGGCCCTTGGCCAGTTTTCAATGAATATTTAGAAATCTGAGGGAGATAGCAAAATTTTTCTCATAACCTTTTTAGTAGCGCTTAATTCCCTCTACAAAAAAGGTTATTATGAAAATTTCGCCATCTCCTTAAATTCGGAAATATTTCGGGAAAACTCAACTAAAGACTAAATTGACTTAGGCCGTTTGACCACTTCGCTACTGAATTCAATCCATCAATAAAATCAATTCTATTGACTTTTTCTATTTAATATTTTCTATTTAACTAATAGAAACTAATAGAAAGTTCAATAGTATAATCCAGTAGAATTTTCTAACGAATTCGCTAGATTTTTCTATTAAATTTTTCGTGCGTGACACTACTTCAACCTTTTCTTTTTCTGTGTCCAGAAACGTTAACGAGTAGTCCGGTTGCTCCGCTGGAAGTGGAATCCTCTTAGCATTCCCATACGTTGAATACAACGACAACTATGAAGATCTGGTTATTTACGATTCGCCCTCGTCTGGAAGCCTTAGGGACACGTGAGAACGTTCATCCTCGGCACGTCCTTCATCAGCCCTGACTGAATATCAGGACGATTCTGATCGTTCTACAGACAAAACATTGATAGCATGTTTTCCGATTTTTAATTATCATATGGCGATGGGATTCTCTTGTTGAAAAAATTAACGGTACCTTTAGTGCCCCCGTTTCCAGTAGTTTTATGTTAAGTCATAGATGCCTTATAAACGCGTAGTTCGCTAACAGGTCATGGAACTCATCATCAGAGTGGGATCTAATTTCTTTAAGGGGGGCCCAGGTGATATTTGAATGTCTTCGGTTGATGAAAATAACTATTGAGCGACTCTTGATATATCACGGGGTACCTGAAAAACTAAGAAAAAATTCGTACTCAACTCATTTTGCTCTGTACGGCAGACGAAAACGTAATTTTTCGTGTTTTTGGCTTTGAAATCCTCCTCGCACCACAATTTTCATACAATTTAACTTTTTTTTTTAATGGTCGTTAGATTCCATAGAAAAAATTAGGTTTTTTTTCGATTATCCCAATTAGATCATAGAAAAGGTAATTTTTTCGGTTTACTCATTTTTTCCCTCCTTTCATGGTATAAAAATCATTATTCTGAACACCTGTTTTTTTAATGTTCAACTACTCAGAACAGTAATTTTTATACCGTATGAAAAAAGTAAAAAACGAGTAAACGGAAAACAATTAGGTTTCCTATGATCTAATTGCGGGAATCGAAAAAAATCTAGTTTTATTCTATAGAATTTAAATAACATTCTGAAAAAAAATCAAAATCAAATCAAACAAGATCAAATCGTATAGAATGGGTTGGGCACGAAATTCTTCCAAGTTTTTTAGATAGACTCCATGATATATCAATCAAAAGTCTCTCGATGGTTATTTTCATCAACCGAAAACTTTCAAATTTCACCTGGATCCCCCCTTAACACGATCATGAAGAGTGTGAGAATTCGATTCTTGCAGAATAATTTTCTTAGCACAGAAAATGGTTTGAAGTTTTCGACTCTGATCGAATGTCACATGACCCCTCAATCTACCATTATCAGCTATGATGATTGTTTTAGAATAGGTAAATAGATTGCTGATGAACTTAGATCGTAATATTACAGTATTGATTATTCATGATTAATTAATCAATTAATTTTCAACTATGCCGAAATAAAGTATGATGAAATAATGAATCTATTTGGGTTTAGTAGTACTTCACTGATATTGCGTGCCCCAAATCCAATTCGTTCCAGAGGGACGCATGTCCGCACCCATTTTTATACATTTTCGACATTTATCGTGAGTTCGGTGTAAGGAGATGTCCCCGTAGCCGAACTTTTTGAATGTTCAATAGAAAACTTGCGTGAAGCTCAATTCTGGCGAATTTCCCTACGCAGACATTCCTCATAACATGCACTGAGAGAAAAACAAACACGTTGTCAAACAAGTCTTGTTCGAGCCAACAAAATCGCTAGTGGAAAATTGCTAAAAGAGAATTTGTTTGGTTCGAATTTGAAAGTCTCAAACGTGAGTAATTGTTCTGCTTCCGACAGCAACGAAATATTTGGCTCAAGAGGCGGATAATTCACACCAGACGGTGCCTTTTCACGATGAAAATATCTCATATAGAGGAAAATTTATCAACAAATATTTTAAGTGTTCATTTCTTGGATGTGATTATTAGACAGTCGAAATAAAAAACTACTATCCCTTATTTCGCATGAAAGGAAGATTTTTTGGGAGCAAAATACGTACGTATGGGAGTATCGAAAAACGAAGGAGTAGTGCTAGAAATGACATTTCATCCGTGTACAGAGAATGCATTTTTTTTTCACTACTAAATCTATTTGTGCGGCAAACATTTTTCATTCCGACGCACTCTCTGCATGTTCGACACAAAAAAATCCTTTTTTGATAATTTCCAAAAAACTATTTTCTTGGCACAAGTAAGACTTGTTTGAGAACTTTGTCGCTTTTCTCTCAGTGTAGGGATAGCTAAATGGTGAAAATTATGGAGGTATATTGCCTAAATGTCTTATAATAATTAATTGAAAATTAGTCGTTTCCGAGGCCAATTTTTCGAACAAACCGTAAATTACGTCTAGCAAAACGTAATTTATGTTTAGGTTCTTCTATGTAAAGGGTATGAAAACAAATTTTTAGATTTTTTTCAAAATGCACTAAGAGAAAAATCGACATATCACGAAAATTATTTGTTGAGCGAAAAACATCGCATACATACATGCGATCAATTTATGGTAGGTTTCAGACAAGGAATCGGTGCTCTTCGGGCTAAGGAGGAACTTACTGAATGAAAAGGTGATGTCTTTCTTCGAAATGAGATAATATTCCTTAAAACACAAGAATAGTTTGACAGAAGGATCTTTTCTTTGCTTCCCTTCGAACTCAAAGCGATTGAGCGTGAGCGACGGTTATATTCTTTTAATATCTGGAGGTTTTCCTCTGCATAAACTCTCTATTCATTCAATATGAAAGTCATGGTCATGATTCATGATTCACTGAATCAAAGCTTTTAATATTTTTAGTCATTTTCTCATCTTCTGACACGAAAAAACCGATTTCTTGTGGCAAGAAATTCTCACTTTATCAGGAAATTTTCATGTTCAAGTCATGAACACTTGACCGAAATATGACATTGTCTGACACATTATCCGGAATTCTTATCCCAAGAAATTTATCCTCAAGAGATGAGATATTTGGCGCTAGAAATTAGTTTTGTGATATTATCACGATACTTCTCTCAGTGTGTCCATCACAGAAAAACAGGAATTTTTCGGAACCTGCAAAATCGAGCGTTTTTAATGGAACAATCCATTCTTCTCAGGCTTGAAAAAAATTGGATTGTCATTCAAATAGGGATTAAATATTACCAGTTAATTTCCAAAACCATACATTTTTGACTTCCGAATAAAAGCTTGTAATCATTCAAATTTAGGTTTGGAATTTTTCGTGAAAAAAAATCCAAACATTTCTAAAAATTTAATTATTCGCTAATGAATCGGTAAAATTTAATCATTCTTCGTTTTCAAATGCAGTATTGTTGACCCTTATCCATTGAAATTAATTAAAATTTAATCCCTGTATTAATTTTCAACATTTTCTAATTTTTAACTTCCCGACCCGAAGGTGGGAAAGTTACATGATTTCTTCTTGTTTCATGACCCCTAGAAACTTTTGCGACTTTTTGTCGATACCGGTCTGTATGTGTGAATGTGCAACAAAGCGATCCAAATTTTTTTCTCAATCGATGCGTCTTCATCGAACTAAGAACTAATGAGATTGTAACACAATCGCCTCAGTGTTCTGGTAGTTATTCGTAAAAAATCTGAAAAAACGTTTAAAAAATTGAGTTTTTTCACAAATGGGATGAATTCATCATGCGAAACGATGTCATTTGAATTTGTCGAATTGCAATTGGGAAATCTTCTCGTAAAGTACGCTATGACGTATGATGTAATTTTGGAAAACAATGACTCAGCGGTTCCTCGGCGGTTTTTCAATGAATCAACAAAACATTGAAATGGCATTCTTCCACAAATGGGGTCATTAATTTCTGCGAAATAATGTGATTCGATTGTTTTTTATTTATTGCAAAATTTTGGAAAAGCCATTGACCCAGAAGTTCTTCGTTAATTAATCAATTATAAATAAAACACTGATTCAATGTACACTCTTGTCTTTCTATTCGTGCCATAATAACAAAAAAAAATGATAAAATCGATAAATGATATATGATAGGAGAAAATTATATGCAAAATGAACATTCGGAAGCATACTGCTAATTCATTAGCACACGGAGAGAAATTCTTTCGAAAAATTTGAGTGCGAGTACTAGAAAAATCAAAATTGATCGTCTATGAAACATTCTAGAGCTGTTAAGGTAAAATTTCTGGGGATTTCAATGAAAAAATCATCTAAGTACGAGAAAAATTGTCGTACTACCCAATAAAATTTCTAGTGCCAGCAACTGGAATTTTGCCTTGGCCGTCACTTCGCGCTCTTCTATCCCGTGCTAGCACTAGAATTTTTTTAGAGAATTTCTCTCCGTCCAACAATAGCTATACTATATAAAAACCAATTACTCCATTTATTTCATTGCTCCCGAATAGAATCATTGTAATCGTCCAATTTTCACATTTTCTAATTTTGATTGTAATGATGTTTTGAATGGTCTGAAACGGAAAAATAGTAAATTCATGCCCACCGCCACCTTATCGATGGCGGATTTTTAGAAAATTGAGTAACTAAGTGACTAAAGTAATTCAAAAAAAATCTGAAATTTTGTCAGATTATATTCTTAATGAGGACTAACTCTGTTCAAAATTTCCACCCGATCGATCTAATAGTTTTTGAGAAAAACCGATTCGTTTTAAAATCATTTTCATCAAATATCTTCAAAACTAGTGGACCGATTTCGATTGCTTTTTTCCAAATATTCATTTCGATGCCTTCTATCTAAATCAATGAAAACATAGCCGTTCCTACAATGTTTTCGAGATATTCCCGTTTTTCTGTTTTTTTCGTAAAAAACTTTGTCATCACTCTAGCTTGTGTAAAAATCGAGATATAAACTTGTCTTTTGATTTTTGCACAAGCTAGAGTAATTACAAATCCAGATATCAACTTGTTTTTTCATTTACAAAACTGAGGTTTACAAGCCGAGTCGAAGGTGAAGTCGACCGTAGCATTCATTAAAAATGAAGCAGAGAATCACTTTGGGAAGTCAAATGCTTCCAAACAACAACGGTATTGTTACAATCATTCTTTATTAAAGAAAACATAATTCAGCACAGAACAACAGTCATCCAGTAAAATATGTCATACGTAATCATTAATTCACCGGAAAACAATATGTTCATCTAAAAGAGAAAGTCTATGTTATAAGCCCCCTGTATAAAATTCCTTCCAGACCCCCCCAAACTCCTGAATAAAATATCTGTCTCATTCCGTCGTTCCCCAATGCAATAGCTATTCACACTTCAGATCTCCATTCTATATTTACAATTAAACTCCTTCGAAATCTGAAAATGCTGTGGCAGAGATTTTTTTTAATTTACTCTCTATTTCCAAATTAATATTTGTGTCAAGGCAGCATGAAAGACGCTCCTCTGCCAGTTAAAATACGCCTATAGTATGACCTAAGAAGCAATTGATATTATAATTAACTAAGTGCAATGTGTCAACAGCGGGCAATACATTTGGACGTGAACAATAAATAACTGCCCGAGAAGAGATCAACACATACGATTAACAATAATTTATTTTTCTCCGAAGCACGATGGTTTTTTTTGGCAGTGTACTAGCAATGAAATTAATCATCGGCTTCCAACTTCGAGCCCTGAATTTCGAATATCTAGTCATGAATACATGGAATAAAAGTACATTAGTTTGAGGGATTAAAAGTGGAGATGTGCTTTGTAAAATCAATGATCATTGCTTGGTCAGTAAATACCCGACGGTCTATAATACTAAGTGTTCATCTTGTTCTGTTTGATTAAGAGTTTCATCTCATAATATTCATCGTGGGTGTAAGACGCTTCGATTGTACGACAACGTTATCTGCAATTACACGAAAAATATTTCACTTATCGTTAGTTCTTTCGAGTTATTTTTCACACTTGTGGATCTAATATACAATTCTTTCGGTTAATTTTCTTTTAGGTCGCGTGAGATTACTTTTTATGGGCCATTTCCAGAGCTGGGGACGATTTCGTGAAAATCGAATTTCACATACACTGAGGAAAAAATCATTTTTTAATTTTAAATATCGATTTACTTGAGAGAAGTATTTATTTTGTCAATATCATATTTCTCCTGTTGAGTCATTCCCAGACAGTCCTCGTTCGGCTTCGATTATGACAATTATATTGCTTTAGAAGAGGATCATGTTAGTTATGACTTTGAGTGAACTCCCGCAATATTATAGACATTGAAAACTTAATCAAAATTCTTTTCTCTACAAAATAAGAAATTTAGGAAAAATGAATAATTATTGAAGGATTTCATCCAAGGTCATGCACAGCATAGTCATCGTCTAGAGACACATGATTGTCATAACTTAAACCTGATCGGGCTCGCCTGGGAATGACTCGATTAGAGAAATTCGATTTTGAAAAAATAAATACTTCTCTGAAGTAAATGAATATTTGGCAAAAATATTTTTGTTCTCAGTGCACGATAAAACTGTTCAGTAGGTCGATGCCGGAGAAAACCGCCCAGTGAATGGACGGACGTTTGGTTTTTAGCAATTCAAAAAAAAAACGATCGAAAAAAAGTCGCCATTTCGGGGTTACGAATCCCAACAGTTAGCGAAAAATCAAAGCAACAATTCACATTTCAGCAATTTTTTGCATAATTTCCTATCCAAAAACAGCTTGTCCATCTACTGGATAGTTTACCCTAATTATTTCAAGTCCAAGTTAGATTAAACACTATTCATTCATGTTTTATTCTGAAAACTGGAATGAAATAAATTTTCGATGTTCTATACAAACTGAATGATGAATGGAATCGAATTGCCGATTTGGTTCAACTATTCGAATGAATACATCAAATAGTCGACAGAATTCGTCGCATGGGACTTGTTCTGTTTGTCAAGTGTTAAATATCAATATGAAACTCTGGCATCGTCTCCAGCAGTTTAAAATATTCATCAGTTTTATTAAGTTTAAATCAACTGGTGGGATGAGAAAATTGTTGTGATGTGATTCCAAGTGATGAAATGAACATATTCAGAGTCACCTATTAATTTCAAAATACGAATTTTCTTGATGAAATTGTTTCAAATCCGACGGAAATTATAAACCGTTCTAGTCGTTCCCTGATATTTCAGTAGCGAAGCGATTGAACGGTTTAAGGTTTATCCCAAGACAATTCTAAATAACTTACTAAAGTCCGAAAAAAATTCTAAATGAAATTCTAAATAAATTCAGAAAACTTTGTGGCAGACCATCTACCAAATCTATTAAATCGATTCACCGCTTCGTTACTAATTTGCTATTCCATTGGAGCAGAATTTAGAATAGAATGAAATATAACTGTTTACTCCAGTCTTTCAATAAAGTCGCGTAGCCAACAGGATTTTTCATACGCGAGTTATTCTCTTCAAATTCTTTAATTATCCTGAGTAGTTTTTAATGTTTATCGAACACCATCGCAATTGAAAAAATTAAGTGATGCGATTTCAAGTGATAGAAGAAAAAAAATCACAATCCCATCAACTATTAATTTTAAAATTAAACTTTTATCGATCAAACTATTTAAAATACGATAGAAATTTCCCTGATATTTCAGCAGCGAAACGATTAAACGGTTTAAGGTATATCCCAAGACAATTCTAAATAACTTACTAAAGTCCGAAATAAATTCTAAATGAAATTCTAAATGAATTCAGAAAATGTTGCGGCAGACCATCTATCAAATCTATTAAATCGATTCACCGCTTCTTTACTAATTCGCTATTCCATTGGAGCAGAATTTGGAATAGAATGAAATATGACTGTTTACTCCAGTATTTCAATAAAGTCGCGTAGCCAACAGGATTTTTCATACGCGAGTTATTCTGTTCAAATGCTTTAATTATCCTTAGCAGTTGTTAATGTTTATCGAATACCATCGCAATTGAAAAAATTAAGTGATTCGATTTCAAGTGATAGAAGAAAAAAAATCACAATCCCATCAACTATTAATTTTAAAATTAAACTTTTATCGATCAAACTATTTAAAATACGATAGAAATTATTTTAAATATTTTTCTAGATCGAATTATTCTAACAATTTTTCATCCACCTCTACAGAGATGAAAGAGACACTCGTTGTTCCTCGATATTTGCTCTTCGGTGATTTGAGCGAAATAAAGAACAAAATAGAACGGTCCGTTTTATTTAAATATTCCAACAAAGAAGTTAAATAGTCAATAGAATTTTTGCTAAGAAACTTATTCTGTTTATTAGATCTTAATTATCATAATAAAATTCTTTCATTATCTACAACAATTTCCAATATTCATTAAATACTGTTGTGATTGAAAAATTAATGTGATGTGATTTCAAGTGATGGAACAAAAATATTCAGAATCCCAGCAGAATCTCAACTATTAACTTTGACATAGAATCTGTGTCGATCAAACTATTCCAAATACAATAGAAGTTATTCGAAATAATATTTTTCTGCTTCGAACTATTCCAATATTTTTTCACCCAACTCTCCTAAAATGAAATAGTTGCTTGTAATTTCTCGATATTTGTTCTTCAGTGATTTTAATCCATTTGAGCAGAATAAAGAATACACGGTCAGTGACCCGGTTATGGAACCCGGTCAAGTCCAAGTCAATGTTTTATCAAATGGAAAAAGACCATTTCAAATGTTGAACTGAAAATATTTCAAGATACATTCCTTATTCCCCACGAAAATATGTCTATTTGTAATTCAAAAAATACTTCACCCAGCTCTGAAAATTTCTTAACAAAACAGATCTCAGCGGACGAATCACACCACAAAATTCATTATGAGAAAGTCATTATCTCACTCTGTCCTGCCGTCACAAAATCCATTCAAATTATAAAACAATAATATTAAATCGTAACAATTATTATCAAAGGCAGTGAAAATCTATCTAAATGTGAAGAGAGAAAAATTCTATTGAATCACCGGAATTAATATGATGGAGGATTGATGAAGAGTGGCATTATCAGAAAATCTCGAGAATTATCTATAGTGATGGATGCGGGGTTATAATGCAAGCCACGGATGGTTCCTGATGGACTCTCGACTGCGATCACCATAGTCATACGTCAGTTCAATGCCTATTGGTATATCCTCTTTAGCAGTCAGCACGAGATGTGGTATTGTGTCGACTTCAACGACTCGGGCTATTAAATTACCATTACGCGAATGATTAACGAGTCTTCCTAGTTTATCACTCTCAGCTGTTGCATCCACACTGGAACAGAAAAAAATGAGTACAAAATTAGTCTCTGTGCTGCACGAAGGTGGAGAAAAGACGGCACCATTCAAAACAATACATGATAATTTCAATTCACAAATTCATTTTATGGAAAGTCCATAAACGTCACGTTAGTTGTTTTGATAGTGAGAAAACTATCAAAACAAGTGTTTTTGAAGCGTACCAGAAGTTGAGGAAAGTCCTAGACCTATTTTATTTATTTTATTGATCGATTAATTGATTGATTGATTTATTTATTTATTCATTCATTTATTTTTTCAGAACTTCCCATTCTTCGTTTGCAAATGTTTATAAAGTGTCTCGATAATGTTGATTATACATCTGAAAAATATGTGAAATAATTTAATTTTCAATAGCACAATCCGCCTTTCCAACGAAAATAGGTAAATCTGTATCGAAAATATTGAAAATACACTAGATTCAGGACGTTGCCCAACTTTTCATACAGTTTCAAATCATTGTTTTAATTGCAAAAATGGAAAAAAAATTAAAGGAAATGAAATGTGAAATAATTGGCGAAATTCAAGTTCTTCAAAATTTTTTAAAGTCTACCATTTTAGGCATTTAGGGATTGAAAAAAGAATTCCACCCAACAAACCCTCAAATGTAGAAAAAGATCAAATTTTTTGGTGCTTGATTAATTGCAATCGGTTGATTAGAATATCAGTTAAATGTAAATAACGCAAAAACACGGAGACGATTACATTTTCCATACGGGCTATAGAAAAATTATTTTAAAAAACAGGAGATGTTTGTTCTAATCCCAGAACCCTGTCAACTTTGAGTTTTTGATCTTTTTTTATGTTTTTATATTTATGTTCTTATTTTTTTTTTAAATAACTGTAAATTATATATTTGTACTTGATCGCATTTTTTGTAATGATTTACTCTGTAATTAGCTTTATGCTGATGGGTCACGATGCACAATAAATAAATAAATAAATAAATAATTGAGACAAAATTGCGAAGTAAGCTCACCAATACTGATGTCCACGATGTTGAAAATAATACATGTAACAACCGGTGCTTTGATCTTTGGCATACTCAGCCTCACGTTTCTTAGCAGTCACTTGATCGATGAGCTCTCCAACATACTCCACCACGAATTCACCTTTGTTAAATTCACGAGTTGTCACAACACCTCTACCTTTGCCCACGAAATACTTTTTCTGAAAGAAATCATATTCATAGAATTTACACTATCGTTCATAAATGCTTTTCTACTTTTGTAGTCTAACATCAAAGCTTTCATTTGAGCCCCATTTGACCCTAAGTTTCCGAACATTTCACAATGATTTTATTAGTTTAACTTTGCAAGTCTAATTTTGAATCTCGATATTGAACCGTTAGAAAACATTTTGAAAGTCTGAAAAAAAACTAGAAAGTTTCCTTTTGGAGGCAGATTGATGAAATAATTTTAAAAGTGCAATTTTACAAAATTACGAGCATTTTCTGGAAATCATTTATAAACAATCAATTTTCCACAAACTTCATTAATATTCAGAATTTTATCAGAAATCGATTTCATGTCTGAAGAAATAAGGTTTCCGAAAGTTAAAAAAAATTTAAATTGTTTATTTATAAACGACAAATGAGTAGTGAAGTGGTCAAACGGTTTAAGTCAATTCCATTCTAGCGTCAGTTCTCGATGAATATCCTAAATTCTAAAGGAGTTGGCAAAATTTTCCTAAAAATCTTTTTTGTAATGAAAAGTGAAGACTATCGAAAAAGATCTTACAAAAATTTCGCTATCTTTCTTAAATTCCGAGTTATTCAACAAAAACAACTGGGAGCTACGTCAACTGAAACCGATTGACAACTCCACTACTGAAATGTTAGAAATAATAATAATTCTGTTGCAAAATGCAGTTATAAAGACGCTGAATATTAATGATTTTTTCAAATTTCTCTCACGCAATTTAATTAACAAATTTCACAATTGAAAGTGATTGGATGTATAATGTGATCTGTACCAAACTGGAAAAAATACTTGGATATCCTTAAGAACTACCCTAATGTGAAATTTCATGAGATGCTTAGACTCTTTATTATGCTGTAGGGTATCGATGCCCAATAAACTAAAAAACGAGTGAATACTCTATGTACAATAAAAAATCGATTTTTTGTTGCACGAAAAAATTTAATTGAAAAACCTATCGAATTCGATAGAAAATTCTATTCAATTTCTATTAAACTTTTTATTAGTTTTTGGCTGATTCTATCGACATGTTCAATAGAAAACATTCGATAGAAAAGTCAACAGAATTCGATTTTCCTATATAACTTATTCTTTTCATATATTTCCTATAGAATTTGCTCGACACAAATTTTCTAAGTGTTTTTCATTCTATATTTCTTTTCTTCTCATCAAGAAAATCAAACGAAAAAACTAAGAAAATTTGAGTCGAGGAAATTCTATAGAAAATATCTCAATCGAATAAGTTATATAGAAAAATTGAATTCGATTGACTTTTTCTACTGAATATTTTCTATTGACTATTTCAATAGAATCAGCCAAAAACTAATAGAACAGTTCAATAGAAATTCAATAGAATTTTCTAACGAATTCGATAGGTTTTTCTATGAAATTTTTTCGTCCGTGGATACACACCTCCAAGCCTTCCTCGACCTGACGAATGACTTTGCTCTCAAGATCCCTTTGTTTCTCCTCTAGAACAGTCTTTTTACATTTACGAACACTCCTCCTAACAGGAAAGTACTCTGTAACTTTGTGATTAGGGCTTGTAATATTAAGATCCGTTAGACGTTGATTTCCCCCATTAGCCTTGAGCTTTCCCCTGCCCCGTCCAGTGGGCTTTCTCCCCACAGGCTTAGCCAGCGGTGGTGAAACAATCAGATGTTTCTTATCATCTTCCGTCGAACTCCTCGTGTCTGAGTCATCATTTTGTACATCTGGCATGTTGATACGATGGGGAGTAGGTGGATCTTCACATGGTACGTGAACAGGAGTCTCATCTGTCTTGAAGAGCTCCTTCATGGGGCGAATCGGTGAAATGGCCTCAAACTCTGCACTCTCATTCTTCACCTGAATATCTGTGCGATACAATTCATTCTCTGTGATGATACACGTGGTCACATGCTCCACAATCTTTGTCCTTTCTCCGTTCACAATACCAGATGGTGGAGGCGACAGGTACGACGCAATTCCCCTTGTTCCAGGACTCACTTCTCTCATTTTACCGTCTATTTTCTTTTCTAGTTTGATTCCCTTCCTCAAGGGAGATGTTATTGCTCCATTCGCCCCATTTAGGGCTGTTGATCTTGTGTGGATCGAGCTGGGTGCTGTCGTTCGTTTTCTTCGACCTGAGGAGAATTTATAGATTATACTAAAGAAGCTCTAGTAAATAAATTTGAATGTCTTTCTGAAATGACTTTCTTAAGGTCCGGGTGGACTATCTTTCGAACGTTATCTCGATTGTTTTTCCATCTTCATAATGTAAAATATATTACAGTTTCCTAAAATTTATGGCTGTACAAGAAATAAGTCCGATAGAGAGAAAATAGTGAATGTATAATTTATCATGGTAGATAAAGATCTGACAGCCATTGACTGCTGTGACAAATGACGACCGAACAGTTATTAGATACATCAAATTATTAATTTGGAATTTCCTCCCTATTGGGTTTATTTCCCAATATTATTCAAAAACGCTCTTTAAAAAGGTTCAGCTTTTTTTCAAATTTTTTTTGATTGTACAAACATAATTTTTGGAGACGCCAGGGCTATGTAAAACTGAATAGCAATTGGAGATCATTTCATATTATCAAAATTAAAAAAAACAATCAGGATCGCGTTCGAAAGATAATCCACCCGGGCCTTAAAGTAATTTCCCTCAATTCATCGACCGTTTGGATTCATAAAAGAAAAGACGTTGACGTTCGAATTATAGATTTGACTTGGATTTTTTTTTCGTTAGATGCGAAAAATCTAGAAATTTTTTGACACCCCATGGAAAATTATCGGCCGTTTTGTAAGCAAGATCCATTATTTAGTGATGAGAAGAACATGTCTGGGGAAATATTAATATTTTGCAAAATGTAATTTGGGGGATACTTGTTAGGTATGAATTTAATATGCAAATATCCAAATATATAGCGCAGCCTATTGAAAGGGTGAAGCAATTTTAATGGAGCTGGAGATTATTTCACGAAAATCGTACGAAAATAGTATTTCACATGGGCTTTGAGGATAAAATCGTGAAATTGTATTTTGAGGATAAAGTACTATTTAAAATCATCATTTCAAGAGGCCCTACGGGGCTAGCGTACTGCGGTGGTGGGCAGTCTTAGCTTTGGGAAGCTATAGTAAGCAGCGCCGAGAGTGGTTACTAGATGGAATGACGAACACGATTCATTAATTCATGTTTTTTCAACTAAAATTGAATAGACATTCCCTATTTAGTTTAGCAGAACGGAGAAAGAAATATAGGGGAGGTTGGGGTAAAACGGACACGTTTGAATATTTTTAAAACGTTAATGAGGGGTTGAAATGTTGATAAAATTTAATATTTTCTTTTTCAATACAAAGAACAATTCTTTCCCGTTGTGAGGAGCCTAAACTGAGCTCCATTGATCTATTTGTTTCTGAGTTATCAATAATTTAAAAAATGTCTAGTGTCCGTTTTACCCCCCCCCCCTTCGTATGAAACAAAATAAAATATTCAATAGAAGTTGAATAGAAACCCAATAGATTTTTCTCTTAAATGTTTTCGTGCGCAATTCTTCTAAAATTTAGTATTTTTTTTTAATTTTCCAATCTATGTTGACATTGAATTTTCCAAACATTGATGATACATTGAATACTTATATTCTCGATAAAAAATTAACGAAAGCTATCTCGAGTTGTTTGTTACAAATATTTTCGTTGTTAATGATGTTTAATTAAAACAATTTGAAACTTTCTAAAATAAAATTCCATAATTGTCACCGTCATTTCTTACCCACATACATCCACACGAAAAAATTTAATAGAAAAACCTATCGAATTCGTTAGAAAATTCTATTGAACTGTTCTATTAGTTTTTAGCCGATTCTATTGAAATGTTCAATAGAAAATATTCGGTAGAAAAATTCGATAGAATTCAATTTTTCTGTATAACTTATTCTATTGAGATATTTTCTATAGAATTTGCTCGACTCAAATTTTCCAAGTTTTTTTCATCCTATTTTTCTTTTCTTCTCATCAAGAAAATCAAACGAAAAAATAGAAAATTTGAGCCAACGAAATTCTATAGAAAATATCTCAATAGAATAAGTTATACAGAAAAATTGAATTCTATCGAATTTTTCTACCGAATATTTTCTATTGAACATTTCAATAGAATCGGCTAAAAACTAATAGAACAGTTCAATAGAATTTTCTAACAAATTCGATAGGTTTTTCTATTAAATGTTTTCATCCGAGTTAGTTCAAATATGGCGGGCTGTTCATAGAGCATCTATGGCGTCTCCTAGGAAAGTTGTCTACAATCTAATATTCAATTACAGGACTCATCGTTAATTACAATGTTTCCCCGATATCAATAGCAAATTAACCGCGCCCCAACAACCCCCACAAAACTCTCACCTAATGCTGCTCAAAATAATTAAAATCCCCAGGCCAACGGTATTGGCAGCATCAAAATATAACCTGAATTCGGTACAAATTACCAAAATAATTTCATCCTCAATTCCAACAGAAAGACATACCTTTCACCATCGTGAATATTGGCACCGCGCAGGATGAATATTCACACGAGTCGAGGAAGGCTCGAGGAAGCCCCCAAGCACTAATTAATCGAGTTTATTTTGACCTGCTCCGGACACTTGATAAATTCCATACAATTTTCTAAAACCCAGCGTCCCAGCCAGTCCCAGCCTCCTTCGAAACTCACTAGCGCCATTGGCGGCCGCGTCGTTGCTATCTCGAACTTTTACAGGACGAAATAGTAATTTTATGAATGAAAAATTGAAAAAAAAATTCAACTTTTCTCCTAAAGTCCCAGATATTCACCTTTTTAATCAAAAATGAATTTTCTCACGACTCAAAAACCGTCGTCAACAAATTTAGACCCCTGAATACTCCAAATTGTTTTCATAATTTGATTATTCTCAAGGATAGTGTCGGCGCAAGCGCAACAATTTCGGAGCAGAGAAATAAAATCCCCGTCAACTCCAATTTACTGAAATGCAGTTGACCACCCCTGGGGGACAAGACGACAACAGTGCCACGGCCTCTCTAAATTGTTTGTCAATAAAAATTAAACTCCCTCCGAGATGATGAATTCTCCATGAATAAAACTTCGCGTTGGTCTCGTCGTTCTGCACCCCACAAGCGCGATCGAAAAAAAATCAAGAGCAGTCGGGAGGACAGCTCACTCCTTGATGGGATACTTGGATTTACCCATATTGACGGTATATACCTGCTGCAGCACGCATACACGGATATAGGGGAGCGTTCGAATACATGGATACATGTACAGCTGTCAATGGACTCGTGTGGGTACGCTGAATGATGCGTACCATTTTTTCTCGATGATAACAATTCATTTTTTTATCCATCCGTTGTGGATTATATCGACGGATGATCTTTGAACTGGAGGGGATATTAACTCCGATGGAATCGCTGGAGTTCAGTGAAAGTTCTGATGTAAACATTGAATTCAGGGTGTGAGGAAGCTTGATACTGTTTTGGTGAGTTGACAATTTTCATGTTTTTTTGTTTCAGGTTTTTTATTAATTCCGGGGAGATCCTTTGCTGGGTTTGTTGGGTGATGTGTCTGGATTTCATCTTTAATTACAAATTTATAAAACTTTAATGATAATTATGTATGTAAATCAGTTCTTTCTAAAAATCACCGATTGCTGTCAGAACTCTACACTGAGAGAAAAAGGAATATGGTCAAATAAGTCTCGTTTAGGCCCAAAAAACGATATTGAAAATGACCAAAAAATTGCCAAATTACCAAAAAAATTAATTGTTGGATTTGATGTTGAAAGTCTCACACATGAGCAAAGAACAATGTTAATTGCTCTGAGCAATGTTGTTGCTCTGATTTCAAGAATAACGAAATATTTGACTAATGAGGCAGATTAGTCCCAGGGGACGGTGCACAGTAAAAAATCCTGAGTGAAGTTCGACTCTGAGTTCACACCAGAAGAAGTGAAAACACGTCCACACCGTCTTTCGGTGTTGATGCGCGGAGTATAAATTTCAATTTTTTTAATTTACTTTTTTAATTTTTTAATTTCGAAGTTGAGGGGTATCAAATGCTGTTAATTTTCCAAATTGGTGAATAAATTTTTTGCCGAAAGTTATTGAATTGTGACAAATCGATGAATATTAATCTTAAGGAAGCGAGGTGGAGATCAATGTGATGAAGATCGTGTGCGATTTTAGATTTAAGAAAGAGAAAAAATATAAAATTTGAGATTTCACTGAGAATTCGATGAAATTTAAAATTTTTGAGCAGCAAGAAGATGAGGATTTCGAAACTTACGTGAATTTTCAATAAAAAAAACCTGAGTATTTAGTACCAAATTACGCAGAATTTTCAATTAAGTGACAATTGAAGAATATATTCAGTAGTAATACCACTAGTGCTTCAAATTTATCGGATATTTTCCGATAGCTTCGTTGCCTAGGAACGATTGTGTCAAATTTTGCAGGTTTTTTTGCAAAATTTGACACACTCGTTCCTAGGCAGGGAAGCTTGAGGAAAATATCCGATTAATTTTGAAGCACGAGTGGTACTTGACGGATTATTTTTCCACTCGGATTTCGGCCAAGCAGAGTGCAGTGAACAGCATCCGGATACATTCACACAGCCATACATTTACAACCCACTCTTTTGTTTATCTGTCACACAGAATATTAAACGTGAAATGCGTTGAAAGATGAGAAACAATTGAAAAGTTACTAGTGAATTTCCGGCGGAAATTTTTTAGAAATTTCCGAAATAAAGCTGTTTGACAGCCTCCAATACTGCGTTCTGATTGGCTGAAATCCGAGTAAGAAAAATAATCACCTGAATTGTTCACTAAATTTTAAATTTTCAATGAGGAAAGTCCTTGAAATGTCAGTGCAACTACCAGCGTGGAGAAAAAAGTTGAAGAAAAATCACCAAACAGGTCAAGAGTGGTATCTATTTCTTTCCCGATCTTTTCACTCTATATCGGGGCCAAAAGTACGATACGAATAATGAATTTTTCTCCGCAGATTCGGGATAATTTACTAAACGAGAGGGCAATTTGTGCTGAAACTGTAAACTTTTCCATTTATACAGTCCAAAAATTATCCCATGAACCAATGATTTTTTTTACCAAACGCGATATTTTAAAATTTCACTTTCATCAGTCCCCATGTCCTTCATATCTGAGCCAAAAACGAATACCCTACCGGTGGGGCAAACTTTACTGTATAGTGAGCAGTAATTTTTGAATCAATTTTTTAATCCCAAGATATCTTCCCAAAATAATTCGAGGAATAGTTATTTTATTTATTCGATGGGGTATTCAAAGAGAGCACTTAAGCTCCAATCTTTCAATTACAACAGTAGTTTGATGACTAATTAAGGGGAGACTACTATGAGTTTTCAAAGTCATGGGTTATTAGAGTGAGACTTTTCATACGTCTAAGATCGATTATGTAGATCTGAAAACAAATAATTAGGGCAAAAAAAAATTTGTTTTATTGTTCGTTTGCCCGAAAACGCTTAAAATGCGAAAAACAGTCCAGGGCCTCCAATTTTTGAGCTACGAAGCATTTTTTTTTCAAAATTTTCGGCAAAATATGTGGAATAACAATTACGAGCTATTTTTTTTAATTCGCCTCTTACATGGCTAAATTTGCTTTTTGTATTTTTTTACGCAAATAGTGAATTTTGTATATGAAAAAAACCGAAATCAGCTGTTTAAGAGTCGAGTTCTAAAAAATTGGCTCGTAATTGTTGTTCCACACATTTTTCCGAAAATTTTGAAGAAAAAAATCTTTTGTAGCTTAAAAATTGGAGACCGTTTTCGGGTAAATGAACAATAAAAAAAATATTTTTTGCACTAATTATTCGTTTTCAGATCTATATAATCGATCTTCAACGTATGAAAAGTCTCGCTCCCATAACCCACGACTTTAAAAACTCGTTATAGTCTCCCTTTAAGCAACAATGATGATTTGTATAGACAATATCCGTATAGAAATATCCGAATATCACATACAAAAAACCTATAGAAATTCTATACGCAATCCGTATAGAAAATTTCTATACGATTTTTTCATACGTGTGCCGGAAGCAAAATACATATGGGAGCATCGAATAACGCAGAAGTAGTGCTAGACATTACATCTCTTCCTTGCACCGAGAGTAAAATTTTGTTGAAAAGACTACACGCACGAAAAAAGTTAATAGAAAAACCTATCGAATTCGTTTGAAAATTCTATTAAATTTCTATTGAACTTTCTATTACTTTTTGGCTGGTTCTATGACATGTTCAATAGAAAACATTCAATAGAAAAAGTCAATAGAATTCGATTTTTCTATATAACTTATTATGTTCACATATTTTCTATAGAATTTGCTCGACTCAAATTTTCCAAGTTTTTTCATTCTATTTTTCTTTTCTTCTCATCAAGAAAATCAAACGAAAACTTGAAAAACTTGAGCCGAGGAAATTCTATAGAAAATATCCCAATAGAATAAGTTATACAGAAAAATTGAATTCTATTGACTTTTTCTACTGAATATTTTCTATTGAATATTTCAATAGAATCGGCCAAAAACTAATAGAACAGTTCAATAGAAATTCAACAGAATTTTCTAACGACTTCGATAGTTTTTCTATTCAATTTTTTCGTCCGCGTAAATCTACTTTTGCAATAAAAATTTCCAATCTCGGCGCACGCTTCGCATGTTTGGCACAAAGAAATCCTTTTGTGATAATTATTAGCAAAGGATTTTTTTGGCACAAGTAAGACTTGTTTGAGAACTCTGTTGTTTTTCTCTGAGTGTTCCGAACTTCTATTGGACTTCGATTAAACACTCCCCAGCTCTGTCCATAAATCACGGTTCATTGATACCCGTTTTGCAGGTTTCACCCCATTAAAATTATCCTGCCATCACAATGACGATCGTAAAACAACTGGAACCCCTCAACAGCCCTATCCCTTCAACCTGGAAGAACGAATCCTCCAAACAGTGTAAGCTGTTAAGTTGATGCACAGATCAGATCAACTAGAACACCACTTCGAACAAGTTAACTACTATAATTAAATTTGGCTCTTCCTGAAGAGTATCCAAGAATATTGAAGAATAACCCAGTCCATTAATGAATAAAATATACGACAGTGTTGATGAAGCTAAAAGAACTTATGTGGAGGCGGCAAACTCTCATCTGAGTAGTCTCAGTGTTGTAAAACTGACTCTGATGAACAATGAACCATTCGGGAAGCGGCAAACGTCAGGCGAAGGTTTTGGAAGATAATTATTGGGACTGTAGTGTCTGCACGTATAGAAATACAGCAGAAGCATTCAAGTGCCTCATGTGTGACGTGCGTAAAGGTACCTCAACGCGGAAACCCCGCATTAATCCGCAACTGGTGGCTCAACAGGTTTGTTAATCAGTGGATTAGTAACGAAATGGTTTAACGTGAGGTTTTTGATTGATATCTTCGGCTCGAAGGGAGACAGCGAAATTTATATCCTCACCTTTTTCGAGAGCGAAAGTAGAACTATAAAAAAGGTTTTTATGAGAAGTTTGCTGAAGAATGTCCCGCAGGTGCGAAGATACTCCGCAAAAACTTCATAATTTATAATTTTCATAATTTAGAATAATGTAAAAATAATAAATTATATGAATTATAAATTTATTGTTTAATTATAAATTTATCATTTATAATTTTTTATAATTTATAATAATGTTTATAATTTATTATTCTTTTCTCAAACTTACGCTACTTTTGTGAATTGATAAAACGAGATAAATTCATGAATATCTTTCACGCTGAGCAAAATAGGGCATTTTTTATGAGATTATTTTTCGTAGATGGCAATAAGAGCTACGAAAAGCTAATTTTCTCACGACAACTTTGCCATCTTTCAAATTCTCAAAACTCTTTGTTTTTCGTTGAATAGAATTTTTTTCATAGATACCTTTCTTGCATTTTTCACTTTGATCTACCAAAAGGATCTTCATGAAAATTCTCGTACCTCCTTTCGAATCTTAGATATAACGTTACAAATGAGTAAACAAATATAAGGAAATAATGAATTGACGATTGGAGACAAAGCGTAGTAGTACTTTGTATAAAATGACTATTCTTCTGGTATGGTTTGTAAGTATAGTAATTAGTGAATGACGAAGCATTTCTCATGTTTTACCCTCTTTATACCTCAGAGTATAATAAAACGCATTCTATGTATGCATAACTTCCGAAAACTGGTTCCATGACTATTTAAGGCCCAGGTTTACTATCTTTTGAATGTTATCTGGATTTTTTTTATCTTTCGTAATCTAAAATTGTCAATTGAGTGGTACATCATGTAGAAATTCCCAAAAATTATGATAGAATAATAAAAAAAAATAGAAAAAATTCTGAACTTTTTCAAAGAGCGTTTTTAATTGAGATTCCGAATGAGTTGAAAAAAGTGGAAATTAACAATATCTGATTCGCTGTGACAAATTATCTATTATCTGTCATTTTCCAAACTGGATAACAAAACACTAACTCCTCATGGGAAGTGACAGCTAGGTATCTCAATTTTCAAAACAGTGGTATGTAGTCATCTGCCACTTTTATGTGATAAAAGTGTGATTAAAAAATTCTCTAAAATATTACAACTTTTTTCAAAGAGCCTTTTCCGTAATAAATGTCTCTGTGCAGTGCGGGAAAAGATTTACGAAATCAGTCTTGCCCCTGCATGATATTGGGTGACAGGCCGCCATTTGTTAACGTAAATCCGATACATTTTTCAATTTCTCGTTATTCAACTTATTCTGAATATAAATGAAAAATGCTCTTTGAAAAAATCAATAATTTTTTCTACTTTTTTGGATTATTCATTCATAATTTTTCAAAACTTCTGAATGATGCAGGACTTAATTGACAATTTCAGATGACGAAAGATGAAAAAAACCATCGAGATAACGTTCGAAAGATAGTACACCCGGCCCTGAACATGAAACAATTTCAAAACGAAAAGTCAAGACACAACCAATTAGTCGACAAACAACAAATGATTTTGCACTCCCCTTTATTGAAATATGAATCAATGATAATATTATATTTTATATGAATATATTATAAAACATTTTATATTAATATTAAACTATACTAAAATATTTTTCACGTTCACAGGCGGCTCAACAGCAGTATGTGCCACCGTTGAAGCCAGGAAAAAAGGAAGGCGGAAGTGGAAGTAGTACAGCGAGCTCTGTCAATAGTAATAAGGAACGTAAACTGGATAAACCAAGGCGAAAAAATCGCCATCCACCCAGATTGAAAAATGTCGATCGCAGTACAGCTCAAACTAACGAAGTTACTGTCAATAATGTGACTGTAGTTATAACTGAATATAAGCCTAAAGTGAAAAAAAATTCGGATCAATCGGGTTTGTCTAGCAGTGCATCGTCTGAGAATGGTAGTCAACATGATTCGAATCAAGACTCACGGAGTCTTGACATAGGAACCGATGTTTAGCTTATTTTTACTTCAGTAGCGAAGCGGTAAAACGGTTCAAGTAGGGAAGAATGGGGGCAAAATGAAACAGCAAGCAAAAAAAAATTTTTTCTCAACTATTTTTTTTATTAACTTGTGTTCTTCAACTTTTTTCTATTATTGGGAGTGCTGATGAGAATAATAATTTTCCTTTCAGCAGAATGGAAAATTATGGAGAATTTCTAATGGGAGAAGATTTTGTCAATGGATTAATCGAAAAGAAAATGAAACTGCACAATCCAAAGTCCAGAGGAAGGCCCAGGGGGAGACCCAGAGGGGAAAAAGAAAAATGTGATGCTGAATTTCAATCGAATGAAAAAAGAAAAGTGTAATCTCCCTAATCTAATCAATTGAATTATAGATGAAATTTTTCATATTACTTGAAAAGAGAACTGTGGATAAAATTAGTGAGATTTATTAATATTGTCGTCTCGATATAAGAAAAATATGAAAAATCTTCGGGAGTTTCGAATGAGGAGAGAACAGAGACTCAGCGATGACGAGGTCTTAGTTTGGCTGCTGGATAGTCAGGGGACAAGCTGACTAGTGGACGTTGAGATCGAGATCTAACAGGGGAGTGGGATTCATCTGTGGAAGTAGTCGCTACGCTGCATAGGGGTTTTGAATATCAGTGATTTTTTCGCACCGCATGTTCTTTTTTACCGAATAGAAAATTATTATTTTCATCAGTACTCCCAATTATAAAAAAAGTTGTTAAAAAAAATATTTTGCTTGAATTGCGGCAAATAGTCGTTTTTCGGCTGTTTCATTTTGCCCCGCTCTCCCCTAGATTTCAACTATCGTCCAGTTTTCAATGAAAATCTCGAAATCTAAGGGAGATAGCGGATTTTTGTTAAAATCTTTTTTGTAGCTCTTAATTCGCTCTACAAAAAAGGTCATTACAAAAATTTTGTTATCTCCCTTAGATTCGGAGATATTCCTCGAAAACTCAGCTAAGGGCCACGTCGACTCGAACCGTCTTACCGCTTCGCCACTGATTTTGTGCTTAATATTTAATTGTAATGATTCTTGGAAAATAATCATCTAACTGTAATGTACGTACACAATTTTGTTTCATGGAACAAATGAAAAAATTAGGCTAGGTAAAAACGTGTATTTAAATTACACATTAATGATAGTTATTAAAGTTTATAGGGGTAATAATTTATTACGACTAGCCAAGGATACATTGTGTAATACCGCGTTATTCAGTCTCATTTCGTTTACTTTTGCTCAATATAGAATTTTTCTACTCAGTGAAATTACGAAACAAAATGATAAAATCAAACTCATGTATAAATTTTATATGTAACAGCATAATTTAATATCTATGCATTTACACTGCCGTACTTTCGTTCACTTTCTTTTCTGAAATTGAATATATCGTCGTCGTGCAGCCAAAGGGGGGTATGTGGTGTGTGCAAGCACAGCTCTTACGCCTCTTGCTCTACGACGATATATTTATTATATACCAATATTCGGAAATAGAATGCAATAAATAATGAATACGTTTCGAGTAATTGGTCAGAATGGAAATATACTTGTATTTTTTTTATATATATGATGAAACTTATAGGTGTAAATTATTGAAGTAGTGAAAAATGAAAAACAAAAGGAAAATAAAAATCTAACTTTGTTGAATTGACTCATTTTCTTGAGACTAATTTATTTACATTTCTTTTTATCTTTCAGAGTTATGCATTCCATGTCTTCGGTGACTTCCATTAATTCTCCTTGGTGATTATCACTGCTCGGTGATACGGCGTTATCAGGAAATCTTAATTGTCTTCCTTTGAATCTCTCTGAAACAGCTGTGATCTCCATGAGATCCCAGACCTTGTAATTGTGGGATTTATTGTCACCTCCAGAGGTGAACACGAAGGGACTGTCTGGGCAGGAGGCGAGGCACTGAAGTGCTCCCAAGTTGGTTTTCTTCTCGAATATGAGGTCCATTTTGTGGATGTCTAATACATCCCATACTTTGATTACACTGTCGTCGCAACTTGTCACTAGTAACCCAGGACAGGATGAACTCAGTGATAAACCTGTAATCTCTTTTTCGTGGGCCTTTTTCTGCCAGACGTGCTGACCTTGTCTCACGTCGATGCACTCAATGTTGCCGTTATTTGTACTTATCTGAAATTGAAGATTACATTTTTTTCTTTCGAAGGTTATCTCGATTGTTTTTCCATCTTCATAATGTAAAATATATCACAATTTCCATTGGATTTTACGTCACGCAGGAATCTTTAAAAATTATGGTTGTAGATAAAAGAAATTTTCCACAAAAAAGTGGAAAAAACTGAACGTTTCAAAGAGCGGTTTTAGTGAAGATTAAGAAATAAGTCCGGTAGAGAGGAAATAGTGAATGGATAATTTATCATGGTAACTAACGATCTGACAGCCATTGACTACTGTGACAAAGGACGACCTAACAGCCATTAGATACATCAAATTATTAATTTGCTATTTCCTCCCTATTGGGTTTATTTCCCAATATTATTTAAAAACGCTCTTTGAAAATGTTCAGCTTTTTTTCCAGAGACTCCAGGGCTATGTTAATCTGAATAGCAATTGGAGATTATTTCAGATTATTAAAATAAAAAGAACAACCAAGCTCACGTTCGAAAGATAATCCATCTGGGCCTTAAAAATATTCAACTTTGGTGACATTCGAGATTTTTAATTATTTTTGGTTGTTGGAGATGTTTAATTACAAAACTTTTCCATTGAATTACGCAAAGAAAATTTAATTTTGTAACTAATTCATCTCTTTTCAAGCAATATTTTCAGATAAATAAATGATGGGAATTGGTTTTTATGAATTATGCATTTGAAGAAATCCTTTTTAGGCTGAAAATTTATGATTTGCCCATTGTAAATCAGAACAGGTAATAGGATTTAATCTCCTCAAATTTATCTTCCAATAATAACTGCAAAATTGGTATTCTCTGATCACAAATAGAAATGAAAATTGTAACTTACGAAGAAATAATTTGGGTCGAAATGGTTCCACAGAACGCGCTCCACTTCTCCAGTAGTTTCCCACGATTTAAATGTATCGTCAACGCGACAATCGAATAGTCTAGCTGTGCTGGTTTCCAAAACAAATGTATTAGTAAATACCCCGAGAATATCGATCTACTCTCGATTTCAGACCTTTCTCCTTACCTATCTGCACACCCAGTCAACAAATGATGGGTCTCATGGGGATGAAATGCAATAGACTGAACTTTCTCTGCAAAGTGTTTGATTTTAGTAACTGGCGTGCCGTTTTCCAAATCCCATAGTAGTACTGTTTGATCTACTGAACCACTCGCCAATACATGCCTGCATTTAGGAAAATAATGATCATGTTTCTTTCATATTTTACACTTGAAAATCGAATCTACTAGAGTATTTTAGAGATGTCCGGTTTAAATATTTGGAAAATTATCTGGAAAATTTGGAAATTATCCCGATCACTCTCTGAATTTACAGAAATCTAGTTGAATCAATTTTTTTTATTGGTCAAGTATCAATAAATTTTTTCAATAAAAATAATCGGAATTTCATGGAGAATCTAGTAACTATTAGCAGAAGAATGACATTGAATTCGATTTAGAGAGAAAAAGCTAATGAAATTCGAAAAAGTCAGATAGTGAATTGAAATGGTTTCAAATAGAAATGAGACAAAAAATTGACAATTCACTTGAATTTTCAATTAAACGTGAATATTCAGTAGAAGACGGTGAGAACAAATTGACTTTTTTTAACTTTTTATTCAATGTTTATAACTTGAAAATGAATTTATCAATTGAGGTCAGTTTAGGCTCATCACAAAGAGGAAGAATTGTACTTTTCATGAGAAAAATATTATCCCATTTCACTGACAATTCAATGGGATATTCAGTTTAAAAAAAGTCAAAAGGGTACATTTTGCCCCACTTGGTCTTACCAATGGTTTTATCATGAGCTGACTTTCCAATCAATTAAAATTTTGAGAATATAATCGCATGCATTTTCCCACTTCTTCGAATTTCCATGAAATAATTGAATTCAAATTCCCAGTTTTTATTGTCTTTTCCCATTAAATGCGATTTTCAATGATGAGACTTCCTGACATTTGAGTGGAACTATCACTTGGTCAAAATTTCCGGGATTTAAAAAAGAAGTTCTAGCTAGTGGGTTATTGTGATGTCGATTTTTAATAATGTATCCTTCGATAAATATTTTTGGTTTAAAGTCAACAGAATGGGGGCAATATTTGATAATAATTTTGCTTGTTTATAGATTCGAATAAATGCAACTGAACGGGAATACCTTGTGCATTCGAAAGGTTGCGCAATCTCTTCTTGTGTTTTTAAAATTATTTTTCGTTTCTTTTTTAATATTTGAATAAAGCATTTGGCCGAGAATAATGGTCGAAAATAATTAATTGAATGGAAATTTTAGCATTTTTTAAGACCTTCCACTGGACTCTAACATTTTACAGAACTTTCTCAGATGTTTCAGACAATTCCTTAATTTTTCATAACTCCAAGATGTTACAGTCGATTCTAGAACTCATTCCAGACAATTGTTCCAAAGACTTACGTATAATTAGAATTCCAAGCAAGATCCAAGACAGCGTCTTTATGCCCCACACGTTTTTGTTTCTTCTTCTTCTTGGGTTTTGAGCCCAGAGTGAATGCTGGCTCTAGACAATCGATCAAATCCAAATCCCAGACTTGAATTATCGGAGTCATGTCTCCGATGGCACAGAAATTAGCTGAAATTGTGAATCAACGAATCCATTCAATTGCAAAAAGCTTTCTAAACGTTTTATGAGTTTATTAATTTAGTTAAACTCAAAAATTAATTGATTGATAATGTATTTTACCTGGTTTAGCATCGGAAGGATCGAAATTGAGCCATTCCATGCACAAAGGAAATGCAGGCAGGAGGAGATCATGATGGCAATAGAAGGAGCCCTCCTTTTCATTATAAACTAATAAAATAGAAATTCAGAATTTTTATCATTAAGAAATATTCGTTAATCAATGTTATGATCAATGAGCATTGAAATTATATCTACCAAATATCTCCAGGAGGCTAGCATCACCCTCGACATGTGCCACAAGAACAAGATTGTCATCTGGCTTTATCACATCGTCCTCTTTCTCTGAATCTTCATCTTCATCGTCACCAACTGTCACAAATGGATCTTTACCGTCAGCATTTATCACTGCTAATCCTCCGATGTTGCATTGAATGTTTCCATCTGCAATTGTTGTTAAATTTGCAAAAATTATTCAAAAAATCAAATTACCAAATTGTTGGAAAGGATGTTTAGTATTTCTCTGAGGGTATGGTATCGAGCTCTTGATCATGTTTCATTAGGCGAAAATTCTATCATCATTAAAATCACATTTTGTACAGAATTATTATTTTTTCAAACATTTGTTGTTTGTTAATATATAATGTAAATTGCTTAAACTCTCGAAAACCTTTTTTTAAACATAAAATCGATTTCTGTTAAAATTCTGAATATGAATAAATTTGTTACGATTCGGATCAAATGATTTTTATGGGGAAAAATTGATTGTTTACAAATGATTTATAGAAAATGTTTGTAATTTTGAAAAGATGCTATTTTTTAATTGTTTCATCAATGTTTTTCCAAAAGTAACTTTCCCAATTCTTTTTTCAGATTTTTAAAATGTTTTCTAACAATTCAATAGAGGTACAACGGGGATTCCTATTCAGACCTGCAATGTTTAAATAATAAAGTAATTGTAAAATGTCCGGAAGCTCAGGGTGAAATGAGGTTTAGATGAAAGCTCTGATGTCCAACTACAAAATTAGAAAAGCATTTCACTGGAGAGAAAATAGCCAAAGTTCTTGGATATCCTTAAGCGATTGAAGAAAAATCACTTCTCTCAAGTAAATGCGTTTCAGATATTAGATTTTTTTCTCAGTGTACGTAATGAGAAGAAAAATTATATCTTTCGTATAAAAACCAGGGATCGGAGCAATCATCAATTTCAAAATAAGTTAAATTTAGCTTATGTTAATTGATAATATAACTCAACAATTTTCAATTACCAAATTAATCATCAATCGAAGATTCAAATTCCGTAATGATCTGTTAACCAGTAATCGTGTCAGAAGATTGACCATTAAATGTCTAATCGAAAAAATCCTTTTATGAAATTTAGAATTATTTACTCAATAGTTAATAGAAAATTTAAATTACGAATTATTTCATTATTTTCAAATCTCAATTAAGATAAAAAAAACATAGTAGGGGAGGTTGGGGTAAAACGGACACTTTTTACTTTTTTTCAAATGTTAATGAGGGGTTGAAATGTTGATGAAATTTAATTTTTTTTTAATACAAAGAACAATTCTTTCCCTTTGTGACGAGCGTAAACTGAGTTCAATTGATAAATTTGTTTCTGAGTTATGAATAATTTTAAAAAAGTCTAAAGTATCCATTTTACCCCACCCTCCCCTAATAGAAAGGTGCAACTTCTAATAATATTACAACAATATTACAAATGTAATGATTATCGACCGATCACTGATAAAAACAAAACGGAATTAAATGATGACAGTTGTTTTTATCGTTCACGTTTACCTTCATCATCATAATTTTCGAAATTAAATTCGTCTGTTGATGCTGCAGTCGATCCGGATGGAGCACTATTTCTACTCTGATTTCCATTAGATGTTGAATGGTCGTTCTGATCATTCACTTCTGAATCACTGTCTACATCCCTGAAATAAAAAAATGTCATTAGATACCATTTTCTGTCATAGCCAGCTGCATGCAACGAAATTCAAATGATCTCAAAGGATACTCACTCTAGTTCTGTCTGTGTGTTCTTTATAATTCCCTCTAATTCTGCAGGTGTCAATTGAACCTGAAATAATGATACGATGTCAAATTATAAGGGCAGAACTTTGAACAGAATATAATGGAAAAATAGGTTTGCAATTACTTTTTCAGGGTTTGGAGCAGCAACACCTCGTTTCACCCACGTGGTGCACGGTATAACATTGACATTCATTATGGAAATATATTTATCTTATAAAATCTCTGTACAAAATTACTCAAGGTGAATATGTTTACGTGTTCCAAACACGTGTTTACTGTCGAATTTCTTCTTCGAATGAAGGTTAAGAGAATAATGCTCTACTGCGCATGTGTGCGGGAAGGGGTGGGGTAAAATCTACTCATTTTCAAATGTCGATTAGTAATTGAATTGTTGATGACATGAAATTATTTTCTCTATGAAAAGTTCACGTTTTTGAATTTTTTGTGAGTTTAGATTGAGCTCAATTGATATTTTTGTTTTGGTGTTATGCATATTTCAAGTATATTCGATGAAGAGTCAGGTATAGGCGGGCAAATGACCGATAATGACCGGCCATTTTGTCGAACGTGTGTTAACGGTGGTCAAGCGAGAGGTAAGATATTCGAAAAATGCAGCTAATTTTATGAAAGTTTTTTCACGTATTATTTAATCCATTTAGACACCCCATGCAAAATTTCAGAAACCCCAGGTTCAGGACAACAACAAAAATGCATTTTAAAGTTGTTGCTTGTATATGAGGTTAAATGGGTCATCGATCATTTCAGTGCTTTTTCCATACTGCCGACTGGTCGATAATGTAGGGAAAATGTACGAGTTATCGATGCTCCCTTTAACCTCATGTATATGTAGCAACTTTAGAATTTATTTTTGTTGTTGTCCTGCACCTGGGGTTTCTGAAATTTTGCAAGGGGGGCCTAAATGGATTAAACAATATGTGAAAAAAAATTCATAAAATTGGCTGCATTTTTCGAATATCCTGTTTCTCTCCTGAACATCGTTAAGGTGTTTCGTGCGGAAAAGGTAAATAATGACATTCATCTGAAATTCATGTAGAGTGTTTATAATCACAATTGAATTGTCTATGAATTTTCATAGAATTTTTTCAGGTTTCTTTTTCAAGTTATTAACGATTGAAGTCGCTGCTTATACATGCGCTCTTATGGAGATTTTTCTGTTTAGCACAAAACTGCGCTACCATCTGAACTGATAATATAGTTTCGTGCTAGACCGAAAAATCTCCATAAGCCTGTGTATAAGAAACGAATTCAATCGTTAATAACTTGAAAAAGAAATCTGGAAAAATTTATAAATAATTCAATTGTAATTATAAACATTCTATATGAATTCCAGATGAATGTCATTATTTACCTTTTTCGCACGAAACACGTTAATACCCTTCGGCTATATTTTTTTTGACGTGGATACGTTTATGTTTTCATTATGGGAGGGCCAATTCCAGAAAAAGTCCTTATGGTTCCTTATCGGCAGTGGCGCCATCTGTCGGAATTCTAGAACATTCTACAATATCCTAAAAAAATCGAAACTTTTCTAGCAATTTTTTGCATTCGATAAGTCAATTGATCTACACAAATGCTCCACGTTTCTATATTAATTTTTCCAAAAAAATCTTGTGGATGGATTTTTTTATTCCATAAATTTATGAAGCTTGAGGAAAGGTCTTTTTTTTTTGTCGCAAAGATATAAAATAGAGTAAATATTCCCAGAATAATTTTCTCCCTAGCATTTTGCAACTTACATTGATAAGAGAATTTGCATGAAAACTGCGCTTTTTTAATACATATCCGGAAAAAAATTCTCTGAAATTAAAATATCATTTTTATCCTGAAAGGCGCCGTCTCCTATGAGTGATCCGCCTCCTGAGCCAAATCCTTCGTTGTTGTTAAAAGCAGAGTAATTATTCATGTTTGAGGTAATACTAGATTTTAACTAATTCAAAGCAGAGCGTTAAAATGAAGGATAACACAGGAAAATGAACACAGAAGAATTCTTATATAACTGATGTTAACTAATTATTAAGGAGAGGAGGAGGCCTACATAGATTTAAAAGAAAGAAAAACATTTGTAGCACCAAACAGATAAATATATTATTATAAATAGATAAATATATTCATGTTTGAGACTTTCAAATTCCAACCAAACAATTAAACTTTTGGTAATTTTCAACTACCGATTTTCTTTGTCCCAAACAGAACTCGTTTGAGAACTCGTTCATTCTTCTCTCAGTGAAACATGAAAAATCGCCTTGGCCCGCAACCCAAATCAAACTTCCCGCCGCTGAAAAACCATGGACGGTAGTCGTCTGGTTCGAGGCTACGGGTCTTCGGAGTCCGTGGATGTGAACCTTTGTTTTGTACCTACCAAAAGAATGGCTGCCATCTTTAGTTTTGGACGGATGTTTTACCGAGTCTTCGGTGAATTGTTGTATTTATCGCGCTGTACAACACCGTAATTAATCGTGAAAAAAAGCTTATAAATACTGTAAGCGATGTAACGATTAACGACAAGTTCAACGTTATCTATGCCCCTGGTGATTATTGACAAGAAAAATGATTGTGTTTACATCCAAGTTTGAAGTGAGCTTTTCTGTATTCCTGTCACACTGAGGTAAGAAGACAATAAACCACTGATATATCCCGACTAATAGCCATTCCCACCGCGTTCAACATCACTTATTAACCATACAAGTGGAAAAAATGCCCTCAACTCCAGTGCAACTGTGATAAATCGTCGATATGTTAGACACGTCGCTCTGCGGGTTCAACGTTTTTCCTAATTTCCGATGCCATGTCAAGGCATCACAACACATTTCCTCGAATAATCATTCAGTGTCAGTGTCACTCGTCACAACTCGATCTAGTGCTCCCCAATTGCAATCGTATTCCATTATTCAAGGTTATAAAGTTCGGACTCGGGCACACCTAACCAAGTAGCCCAGCGAGGATGCCACTGCCTTTCATCTCCCTTCTGAGCCATTTATCCCCCGACAATTGTCAACTCCACCACAACTCGCCTAAATACCTCATCAATCCCCCCAAAAAAGTCGCCTTTGTCAAGCCCCTGTCCCCGCTCAGACCCTCGTAAAAAAAAAATTCCCAAACCCACGGCATCACCCGCAACCCCCCATTCCTTCCTCCTCAAAATAATTTCAAAAACGTTGTGTATCGTGCAGAGAGCCCCGAAACTCGCTGGCTCCAAGCTTTGTTCTTCTTCCTTTTCCTCCTGAAACATCAATCAACACCTCAACCCTTCAAATTCCCTCGTCAACCCCTAACGCCCCATAACCCCCGAAATCGTGGATCCTCCTGCATTGAATGTGAAAAAAAATAATTTCATATCAAACGATGGAAAAATTTATTTCACGCTCCCGGCGGGAATATAAAAAAAATACTTCCAGGCGGCGCTCGCCTCGCTCCACAACTCGGCCATTTTGCCTTCCCCTTTCTATTCCCCCCGCCTCCACCGCCGCTCAAACTCCCCTCATCTCATCCTAAGTTCATGCTCCTCAATTCACCATCAGGTTGCCCACATTTCTCCGTCTTTTACCGGCTGAAATTTCGTTAACAATCCGCAGCCTCTCACTGCCCCCGCCTTCGGTGATTACCGTGACCCCATGCGACGTAATTCGCAGTCTTCAAACACCTTTCCTTTTGAACTTCGATGCACAAACCCTACGCTGGCCCTTTGCGAAACCCCGCGAGGGGCTCCTCCCCCCATCGATTTTCCATCAATTACTCCTACACCCTGTTATCGCGCATCGATGATAACAAGACGCCTGAATTCAAATGGTGTCTAAAAATAACGGCATCCCGATGAAGAAATCCCCTCTTATCTCACCTCCCGAGACCGAAATTCACCGAAAGCGAGAGGAAATCGAAAAATGCATTGGAGGAGGAGAGGGAGGTGTTGAGTCGGTGGTCTCTCCTCTCATCATTGCTGTACTGTCTCTATTCGGTAGCTCTCCTATATTCGTGTTAGGTTAGTTGACTTGACTATACATGCTTGCGCACCGTCTAGGTACAACGACCTCCCCCTGCCTTCACGAACTCTATTGCATTCTGCATCGCAGTTTATGATGCCACGCTTCTATACCACATTACATAGTTATAGTTATACATACGAAGCAGCTTGAACTCTGATATTTTTAAAGTCAATCTCTCTCTCTCTCTCTCTCTCTCTCTCTCTCTCTCTCTCTCTCTCTCTCTC